ATTCTGACTTTATAACACAATTCTGACTTTATAACACAATTCTGACTTTATAACACACAATTCTGACTTTATAACACGCAATTCTGACTTTATAACACACAATTCTGACTTTATAACACAATTCTGACTTTATAACACGCAATTCTGACTTTATAACACAATCAATTCTGACTTTATAACACAATTCTGACTTTATAACACGCAATTCTGACTTTATAACACGCAATTCTGACTTTATAACACGCAATTCTGACTTTATAACACGCAATTCTGACTTTATAACACAATTCTGACTTTATAACACAATTCTGACTTTATAACACAATTCTGACTTTATAACACAATTCTGACTTTATAACACGCAATTCTGACTTTATAACACGCAATTCTGACTTTATAACACGCAATTCTGACTTTATAACACGCAATTCTGACTTTATAACACAATCAATTCTGACTTTATAACACAATTCTGACTTTATAACACAATCAATTCTGACTTTATAACACAATCAATTCTGACTTTATAACACACAATTCTGACTTTATAACACAATCAATTCTGACTTTATAACACAATTCTGACTTTATAACACAATCAATTCTGACTTTATAACACAATCAATTCTGACTTTATAACACGCAATTCTGACTTTATAACACAATTCTGACTTTATAACACGCAATTCTGACTTTATAACACAATTCTGACTTTATAACACGCAATTCTGACTTTATAACACAATCAATTCTGACTTTATAACACAATTCTGACTTTATAACACAATTCTGACTTTATAACACAATTCTGACTTTATAACACGCAATTCTGACTTTATAACACAATTCTGACTTTATAACACGCAATTCTGACTTTATAACACAATCAATTCTGACTTTATAACACACAATTCTGACTTTATAACACACAATTCTGACTTTATAACACAATCAATTCTGACTTTATAACACACAATTCTGACTTTATAACACAATTCTGACTTTATAACACAATTCTGACTTTATAACACAATCAATTCTGACTTTATAACACAATCAATTCTGACTTTATAACACACAATTCTGACTTTATAACACAATCAATTCTGACTTTATAACACAATTCTGACTTTATAACACAATCAATTCTGACTTTATAACACAATCAATTCTGACTTTATAACACGCAATTCTGACTTTATAACACGCAATTCTGACTTTATAACACAATTCTGACTTTATAACACAATTCTGACTTTATAACACGCAATTCTGACTTTATAACACAATCAATTCTGACTTTATAACACAATTCTGACTTTATAACACGCAATTCTGACTTTATAACACAATCAATTCTGACTTTATAACACACAATTCTGACTTTATAACACACAATTCTGACTTTATAACACAATCAATTCTGACTTTATAACACACAATTCTGACTTTATAACACAATTCTGACTTTATAACACAATCAATTCTGACTTTATAACACACAATTCTGACTTTATAACACGCAATTCTGACTTTATAACACAATCAATTCTGACTTTATAACACACAATTCTGACTTTATAACACGCAATTCTGACTTTATAACACAATCAATTCTGACTTTATAACACACAATTCTGACTTTATAACACAATTCTGACTTTATAACACGCAATTCTGACTTTATAACACAATCAATTCTGACTTTATAACACAATCAATTCTGACTTTATAACACAATTCTGACTTTATAACACGCAATTCTGACTTTATAACACGCAATTCTGACTTTATAACACACAATTCTGACTTTATAACACACAATTCTGACTTTATAACACAATTCTGACTTTATAACACAATTCTGAGTTTATAACGCAATTCTGACTTTATAACACACGATTCTGACTTTATAACACAATCAATTCTGACTTTATAACACAATTCTGACTTTATAACAGGCAATTCTGACTTTATAACACAATCAATTCTGACTTTATAACACAATTCTGACTTTATAACAGGCAATTCTGACTTTATAACTCACAATTCTGACTTTATAACACACGATTCTCACTTTATAACACAATTCTGACTTTATAACACGCAATTCTGACTTTATAACACGCAATTCTGACTTTATAACACAATTCTGACTTTATAACACGCAATTCTGACTATATAACACAATCAATTCTGACTTTATAACACAATTCTGACTTTATAACACGCAATTCTGACTATATAACACAATCAATTCTGACTTTATAACACAATTCTGACTTTATAACAGGCAATTCTGACTTTATAACTCACAATTCTGACTTTATAACACACGATTCTGACTTTATAACACAATTCTGACTTTATAACACAATTCTGACTTTATAACACGCAATTCTGACTTTATAACACGCAATTCTGACTTTATAACACAATTCTGACTTTATAACACGCAATTCTGACTATATAACACAATCAATTCTGACTTTATAACACAATTCTGACTTTATAACACAATCAATTCTGACTTTATAACACAATTCTGACTTTATAACACGCAATTCTGACTATATAACACAATCAATTCTGACTTTATAACACGCAATTCTGACTTTATAACACAATCAATTCTGACTTTATAACTCACAATTCTGACTTTATAACAGGCAATTCTGACTTTATAACTCACAATTCTGACTTTATAACACAATTCTGACTTTATAACACGCAATTCTGACTATATAACACAATCAATTCTGACTTTATAACACAATTCTGACTTTATAACACAATCAATTCTGACTTTATAACACAATTCTGACTATATAACACAAGCAATTCTGACTTTATAACACAATTCTGACTTTATAACAGGCAATTCTGACTTTATAACACGCAATTCTGACTTTATAACACGCAATTCTGACCCACAAAACATTGCAAAGTTATGTTTTTACAATACATTTTTTGCAACATATTTCTGCATCTACCTTCTATCCTTAACCTAAAAACGTTTACGGTTAAAATGCTTGTTTACATTGTTTGCTTGTAAGCAGCCAAATAGATTTATATAGTAAGGTACAGTTGATTTATATAGATCTGGCACGCATCTACAAGACTAATTATAAAACATTACACTGAGGAAATGACCCCTGAGACTAGTTTACTCAAAAACAGCTGTGGCCTCGCTCGCTCAGAGCATCACAGTATCACAGACAAGAAGCCAACGTGAACGAGGGCTCAGATTAGTTAGACAAACTCCAGTAATCTTACTACTACTGAGCAAACAGTTGACCAGCACTGACGGCGCTTTAAAGGTAGCCCTCAACGGCCACAAAAACCCTTTCACAGACTCCAGACAGACACAAACGTCCTCTGTGCACATATGCAAATGCCAGTTTGTGGCATGAGTTGCTGTGTATTCAGTACAAGGGGGCGATAGAGCTTTCTTTAAATGTCTGTGCCGTCAAACCGATAAGCTACAAACATGCAAACACCAACATGTTCTCCTCAAGCTGTTGCATATACAGTAGTTAAACTGTAGACACATACAAGCATGACGTTTACATGATAGCGCCTCGTGTGGCAATGCTGAGAATGCAGCTCGCATTTACAAAAGGAGGAGTTCACTTCAGAATTAAAATGTCCTGATAATTTACTCTCCCACACGTCATCCAAGATGTTCATGTCTTTCTTTCTTCAGTCGAAAAGAAATTAATGTTTTTGAGGAACACACTCCAGGATTGTTCTCCATATAGTGACTTCAATGGGGTCCAACGGGTCGAAGGTCCAAATGTGAGTTTCAGTGCAGCTTCAAAGTCTCGACTAAGGAATAAGAGTCTGATCTAGACAAACCAGCGGACATTTATAACTAAAATAAACATTTAAATACTTTTTAACCACAAATGCTCTTTTTTGTGTGATCACGTTGAAAGGTCAGGCGGTAAATGTAGAGTAGAGCGAAAAACTCCATCTCATTTTCTCCTTTAAAATCCTCCAACATCGTTGTTTTACCTTTTATTTATTTATTTGTTTGTAAATGGCGTTTGTCTTAGTCTTTGCACGTTCGCTTTATAAACACAGGCCTGTACTTACACCTACGTCCCGCTTGACCTTTCAACCTGATTACGTAATGTGTGGCGCATCACAGCTCGTGCAAGACCAGCATTTGTGGTTAAAAAGTATATAAATGTTTATTTTGTTATAAATGTCCGCTGGTTTGTCTAGATAAGACTCTTATTCCTTAGTCGAGACTTTGAAGCTGCACTGAAACTCACATCTGGACCGTTGGACCCCATTGAAGTCACTATATGGAGAACAATCCTGGAGTGTTTTCCTCAAAAACCTTAATTTCTTTTCGACTGAAGAAAGAAAGACATGAATAATTGGATGACGTGTGGGTGAATAAATTATCAGGAAATTTTTTATTCTGAAGTGAACTACTCCTTTAAGGAATAATGGAAAAACTATTTATCCATGCACATTTTCTTTTTTATTCATGCCTCGTAATCTTGAATGAGAATAAGTTCCTCTCGCAGCATCTCTTCTCCGGTGATGTGGGCGGGGCTATAACCTGTCACTCACATGAGATCAGCCAATAGCAAACCACAACCATCCAATCAAATCCACACAGACACAATCACGCCCCGCCCACATTTGTTCTTGTTCCAGAAGCGCTTCACTCAGATATACAGAACAATAGATCACAACTTCTTTCATACCAACTTTAAGTGCATTGTCATTGTGTGAAATCAACCGTCGGAGTATGTTTTGCCCTTTAACCACAATTCAGTTCTTCACAAGCCCTGAAGCTGTCGCATTAAACCAACAAACATGTACACAAAAGGATTCTGGGAATTGCTTGTACACACCCATTAAAAGCACTCTTCGTTAGGTTACTTCTTTTGGCCACTTTCACTCAGCAATTTCGTATGCAAAAACAAGCTATTCTGTGTCTAAATCTGCTCTTTTATAGTTAATATTATTTTTGCACATACCTCTTTGGAGTCTTCCTCGCTGGCGCTGTCTGTGTCGCTCTCTGCTGGAAGACAAAAGAAAAGAAATCAGACTGATTCATCAGGGACTTCCTGACTGACAGGTTATCGGATATGGGTGGATAAAACAAAAATACTCGACGGTTTGTAAATGATGGATATTCAACACTTACAGGTTTGAAAAGTTTTAACGGATTACTGACTGAGAGATACAGTGTCCTCGGGGACAGGCATTATTTCTAATGCTTTACATTTAAAGGAGGAGCTATTCTGCTTTTTTTATACACGTTCTTCTTTTTTTTAGTGTGTAATGTTTCTGTTTGAGCATGAAACTCACAGTTCTTCTCTATATCAGTGTGTTTCTGAACTCCTGAAACGCCTCCATTGTAGTCTTGAGTTTCTCCCGGGAACAAACACGTCAAAATATTCCTCATTATAATAATTCATGCGCAGAATAAAGGGGCGGGGCCTGGTTGAGTTAGTTAGTAGTGTGTTAAACTGGTGGTTATGGGAAGGGGCGGGACTTTCCCAAACACACTCGAAGCGCTCGGCCAATCACAACACACTGATCCAGCCGACCAATCAGAGCACAGTGTGCTTTCAGAAGGAGGGGCTTCATAGAGACAGGAAGTAAACAGAGCGTTACTGACAGACTGGGAAGAGAGGAGCCGCAACAATGGAGAATATGAGGAGAATAATCAACATTCAAGCAGGAAAACCTGTTCTAGTAGAGCCTGAAACTACATAGGGCATAATATGGGCTCTTTAAGTGTTGTGGAGATTCTGGACAAATTATAAAAACCAGAAGAAAGTCTGGCATTTTGTTCGTGTTTACCATAAATATCTCAACACTTGAGCAAGACATTTCATCCCGTAAAACATACGCTTTGAGCCCCAGGCACATCATCTGAGAAAAAAAAAAGGATTGTTGATTGGAAAACACGGAACAACAGGACATGAGTCAACATTCCCGTCCGTGTGCAAACACACCGACAAGAGAACGGTGAATTCACGCCACTAAAACTAGTGTTCATGAGCCAAGCCCCACATTTCCAACAACGAGTTCATCTCACATTCAACACGGTCAGACACTGGACAGAGTAAAGTATTTTTTAACTACTGTAGGAAGTCATTTGCATTCCTTACTCGTAACTAGCTCCCATAGGGAAAAGGATGAAACTCTTATAGAAGGAAATGCTGTGACTGTTGGATCTAGTAGTGTTGTGGTCTTGGATCAGTTCACGCTTTTAGCAGCGAGTTTCAGAGCGAGTCTGTGCCACAGTCGGAAAGAGTGCGCTACATAATAGGTATAACTATTACTATTACTCATTTAGTTTTACTAGGGACTGAGTATTAAAGTCACCATGACAATTTTATGGAATATTGCTCATAAATGATTTATCCGTGCACATCATTATTGTTTTAATAATCTTGAATCAGAATAACACTCTCTCTTCTCTGGTGATGTGGGCGGAGCTATAACCTGTCACTCACATGAGATCAGCCAATAGCAAACCACAACCATCCAATCAAATCTAAATTAAATCTGTTCATCATATAAACTGATCGAGTCTCTTCGGGAAATTTGGACTAAACTGGTCAATTCATATGGATTAGTTTTACGATCTCTTTATGGAGTTTTTGAAGCGTCAAAGTTATGGCTGGGTATAGTTTGAATTTTAACGATTCAGATTCCTATTTCAATTCCAATTAGGTTAAAAAAAAAAACATTTAGTCCAATTGCAAAACATTTAACTGAAGCTACCATGAAAGAAAGAAAAAAACGGTTAAATAACACTTACTCAAGGAGCGTTTGCCTGTGGTTTTAAAACACCATAGAAAAACAACTAGCCGAACTAATACAATTATCAAGCATTATTATTAACACTCAGTAATTTAAAAGAACAAATAAAAAATTAGCAAATCGCAACATAGACACAACTGAACAAAGATACGATTGAAATAAACAAGTTTTTTTTAGGTATTCAGGAACAGAAATCATAATCAAATGTAAAATAAGTCTAACACTGCGCTTTATAAATATAATATACATTATAAATATAGTTAGAAAAGTTATTCAGTGAAGAACGAGTGCATTTTCTCTTTGTCTTTAGTTGTGTGATTAGTGTTATAATAGAGACGGCAGGAATATTAGTGCTGTCTCTTTAATAGCTGTCCAATATAGTTACACACACATATGCCAAAGCACAAAAAAATATAACGAGTCGTCTCGCATTTGAAAAGACATATTAAAAATGCTCACAAAAGGAATCGATATCGATTTTCCCAACCTTACTCAAAGTGGTAGTTGCGTATCTGTCAATGGAGGAACAGAAATCTCTCAGATTCAATCAAAAAGATATTAATTTGTGTTTCGAAGATGAACGAAAGTCTTACGGGTTTGGAACGATATGAGGGAGAGTAAATAATGACAGAAGTTTCATTTTTGGGGGAATTAACCCTTTAAACACTTCAGCGCATCACACATCGCAACGCACAATATACAGGTGAAACTCGAAAAATTTGAATATCGTGCAAAAGTTCATTAGTAATTCAACTTAAAAGGTGAAACTAATATATTATATAGACTCTTTACATGCAAAGTGAGATATTTCAAGCCTTTATTTGTTATAATTGTGATGATTATGGATTACAGCTCATGAAAACCTTTTCACAATATTCTAATTTTGACTTTGGGGTTTTCATAAACTGTAATCCATATTCATCAAAATTATAACAAATAAATGCTTGAAATATCTCACTTTGCATGTAATGAGTCTATATAATATATTAGTTTCAGCTTTTAAGTTGAATTACTAATGAACTTTTGCAGGATATTCTAATTTTCCGAGTCTCACCTGTATAGCTGGACTCGGACTATAGCATAATGAATCATGGGTGTTCTGGCCTCAGCGTTATACATTAACTCTGTTACAGTACAGAAGTACGGCTGGCGTGACGCAGACGCGTGTCCTTGAGACGAGGGCCTGATCTCTAATGGACATTGAACAACACGACCAACACACACGGCCAGCACACACACACACACATCTCTCAACGCCTCAAAACACGATTCAAGACGAGACTCAAGCACAGTTTCATTTAAAATTAAAACCTTTTTCTGAAATAAGGAGAGCAGTCACACTGCAAAAAAATATTGTCTTACTTTTACAGTAAAAAATATCTAAACATTGTTAAAATACAGATACATTTACTTGAATTTTTTTTTTAAAATGTTTTAAAACAAGAAAAAATATCTGCCAATGGGGTCAAAATAAACTTCAAAATTCAAAGGGAAAAGAAGATTATTTTTTTTGACCGCATTGGCAGATATTTTGTCAAATCTATCAGAATTAAGTGAGTTTTTCAGAAAACAAGACTAAACATGTCATTTTGTTTCTCAAGTAAATGCATCTTGATTTAGGAATTTTACTGAGTAAGAGTGAAGTACCTTTGTATCTACTTTGCTTAGCAATAAATGATTTGCTTCTAAGTATTGCAGTCTTGTTTTCCAGTACAAATATCTAAACGTTCTTAAATCAAGATATACTTAAGATAAAAGCACAGTGACCTAAAATATTAAGTCTTGTTTTCTGAAATATTTATTAAAATAAAGTTAGTTTTAAAGATTATGGCAAAAATCATATTCACGATTATTCTTGTCACGATTATTTTGAGTGGGTCACATGACCAAACCTTATACAATTAAATTTATTTAACGACAGCGGTGTTGTATATCAAGTATATATTTGCTGTAAAAATAAGGTTCAAATGACATCAACATTTTAATTTCACGATTCTTGATATCAATTTCGATAGAATACTAGGCTACTAATGTAAGTAAAATTATAAAAAAAATAAGTAAACAGTCAGTAATACAATAAAAATAGGCAAATTACAAACAATATGACAAATACAATATACAGGTGAAACTCGAAAAATTTGAATATCGTGCAAAAGTTCATTTATTTCAGTAATTCAACTTAAAAGGTGAAACTAATATATTATTTAGACTCATTACATGCAAAGTGAGATATTTCAAGCCTTTATTTGTTATCATTGTGATGATTATGGATTACAGCTTATGAAAACCTTTTCACCATATTCTAATTTTGACTTTGGGGTTTTCATAAACTGTAAGCCATAATCATCAAAATTATATGAATTATGACCTATAATTGTGGGAAAAAAGTCAGAATTGTGGGATATAAATTTGTAATTGAAAGAAAAAGTCAGAATTGTGAGTTTATATCTCACAATATTAACTTTATAGCTTGCAATTGCGGAAGAAAAGTCAAAAGTCAAAATTGCATGATATAAACAGTTCTAAGAAAAAAAAGTCAGAATTATGAGATATAAAACAACTTTATATCTCGCAATTTAGACTTTATAACTCGCAATTTGGACTTTATAACTCGCAATTGCGAAAAAAGTCCAAATTGAACGTTTATATTTTGCAATTTGGATTTTTAACGTACAATTGAGGGAAAAAAGTCAGATTTGTGGGATATAAATTTGCAATTGCAAGAAAAAGCCAGAATTGTAAGTTTATATCTTGCAATTGCGACTTTATTTCTCAGAATTGTGACGGTATCTCGCAACTTGCAATTGCGGAAAAAAAGTCAAAATTGCATGATATAAACAGTTCTGAGGAAAAATAATCTGAATTATGAGATATAAAACAACTTTATATCTCGCAATTTGGACTATATAACTTGCAATTGCGAAAAAAGTCCAAATTGAACGTTTATATTTTGCAATTCGGATTTTTAACTTACAATTGAGGGAAAAAAGTCAGATTTGTGGGATATAAATTTGCAATTGCAAGAAAAAGCCAGAATTGTGAGTTTATATCTCGCAATATTAACTTTATAACTTGCAATTGTGAAAAAAAAGTCAGAACTGCGGAATATGAATTCAGAATTGCAAGCTTATATCTCGCAATTGCGACTTGACGGTATCTCGCAACTTGCAATTGTGGAAAGAAAGTCAAAATTGCATGATATAAACAGTTCTGAGAAAAAAAATCTGAATTATGAGATATAAAACAACTTTATATCTCGCAATTTGGACTATATAACTTGCAATTGCAAAAAAAAGTCCAAATTGAACGTTTATATTTTGCAATTCGGATTTTTAACTTACAATTGAGGGAAAAAAGTCAGATTTGTGGGATATAAATTTGCAATTGCAAGAAAAAGCCAGAATTGTAAGTTTATATCTCGCAATTGCGACTTTATTTCTCAGAATTGTGACGGTATCTCGCAACTTGCAATTGTGAAAAGAAAGTCAAAATTGCATGATATAAACAGTTCTGAGAAAAAAAATCTGAATTATGAGATATAAAACAACTTTATATCTCGCAATTTGGACTATATAACTTGCAATTGCGAAAAAAGTCCAAATTGAACGTTTATTTTTGGTAATTCAGATTTTTAACTTCGGATTTTTTGCAATTCGGACTTATTTAAAAAAAAATGTTTACTTATTTTTTGCAATTCGGATTTTAATAGTCAGAATTATGAGAAATAAAACAACTTTATATCTCGCAATTTGGACTATATAACTTGCAATTGTGAAAAAAGTCCAAATTGAACGTTTATTTTTTGCAATTTGGATTTTTACCTTCGGATTTTTTGCAATTCGGACTTATTTAAAAAAAAATGTTTACTTATTTTTTGCAATTCGGATTTTAATAGTCAGAATTATGAGAAATAAAACAACTTTATATCTCGCAATTTGGACTATATAACTTGCAATTGTGAAAAAAGTCCAAATTGAACGTTTATTTTTTGCAATTCGGATTTTTAACTTGCAATTGCGAAAAAAGTCTGAATTGTGAGGTATAATTTTCTAGTATAAACTCGCAATTGCAAGTTTATATCTCTCAAATCTGAGAAAAATAGTCAGAATTGAGAGATAAAATTGCAATTACCGTTTTTTTCAATTTTATATTCCGTGTCGGAAACAAGCTTCCGTACTAAAGGGATGCGAGTGCATGCGTCCAACCAACCTCCATACGAGGAGACGGGGGAGATCTGCAGGGGGTAGAGGTCGCGGAGGTCGCTGGAGGTCACGGCCTGGTCCTCGTTCTCCGTCACCACCTCGATGGTCTGACACACGTCAGGGAGATCGTTGATGATCAGGTGGTCGTCCCGCCCGTCAGCCTCTGAGGAACGAGAAGAGGGAAGAGAGAGTGAATATGGAGAACAGTGAAGTGGGAAGTGAGTGTGTTTCTGAAAGCGGGCCGTATCTGTGTGATATTTCATTTTTCACCGAGCACACATGTAGCTGAACTCTATTTCCCATGACTCCATAATGAAATGAAGCAGTGGAAACCATGTTAAAAACAAATTAACCAGCTGAAAGGCTTTTTGTAAATGAATTACTGTTGCTGTTCGTTTTTTGCTTTGCCAATTCAATGTGTATCGCAAACCTCGGCTCATATCAATGCTGACTTACAAAAACAAACACACACTAAGCTCACCTTTCACCCCGATCGTGTGCATTACTGAGTTAGAAGGAGAACCGTGGACGTGAATAAACACAGAAACAAGGAGATCTGGATAAACAGGTCCATGACAGTCGTGTGATCATATCACATCCTAAATATTAAAGCTTGAATCTTGCAAAAAACCTGTCACGAACATGTTCAAGTCATATTATTACAACAATATTTTTTAAAATAAATGTTTTGCATAAATTGCATGTCATTTGTTGTACTGAATATAATTCATGTTGATTTTTATTGAACAAAAATAAAAAAAATTGTCAATGAAATAAAGCTGAAACAAAATAAAATATAAATATTTGTTGAAAATTACGAAATGAAAAATTACTGAAATATGTTTATGTTGAAGAACTAATATTATTAAGTGGAAATAACTAAAAGTGAAATAAAACGGAATTAAACATAAATAGCAATATTTAATGACAATCACGAAAAAAATAACTAAATTAATGTGCTTTTTTTTACCAAAATAAAAACTGAAATAATATTGGTCTGGAACGATTTACATTAATGAAAACAAAATAAAAATCTGTATAAATATCCTAAATATTAAAGGATAAATGAAGATGACTTGACGAATCTTGTGGAAACCTGTCACGAACATGTTCAGGTCATAATTCAACTAAATATTTATTTATTTATATGTCATTATTTATGTGTCATTTGTTGTACTGAATATAATTCATGTTGATTTTAATTGAACTAAAATTAATTTTTGGTAAGTGAAATAAAGCTGAAATAATAAAATAAAATATAAATATTTGTTGAATATTACGAAACGAAAAATTGTTGGCATGGCAAATAAACTGAAATATGTTTATGTTGAAGCACTAAATTTATTATATGTAAAAACTACAACTGAAATAAAACATAAATAGCAGTATTATATGAGAAAAGCACATCAGGAAATGTCAACAAAAGAAAAACTAGAATTGACATTAAAACTAAAAAACAAAAAATATTTAAAATATGAATAAAATGATGATAAAACTAAAATAAAAACTAAAATAATATTGGTCTGGATAATTTACATTAATGAAAATTAATACAATTTAAGTATGGGAATAAAAAAATAAAAAAAGTCAAAATAATCCTAAAATATATTTTTTTTTTAAATAAATAAAAAACATAATATAAATGCCCTTTTTTGCTTTGATTATGGGATGAAATATGAGCCGAGCATTGACCCAATCTGCCAATTCATACAATTTCAATCCTTAAGGCAAATCAAAAAAGCCCTTTGATAATGCAAAGCGCCGCCATTGTGAGACACTGTTTATGTTTATGAACACGGGAGAATTATAAATCACACTTTTATTCTTCATCTCAAACTCAACTCAAAGTTCACGTCTATGAGGTGTTTGTTTTTGGAGAAATGTGAGAGAAAGGCTGTGAAGTGATGCATGTGTTTTATAATGTAGGTGAACTCGGACAGGAGAGGCACTGCAAAATCAGGGGAAGCCTGAAGCATTCTGGGTATTTGCAACAAGTGACTGAGGAACACTGAACAAACGCTGTTGTGTTTTCAAGGACCCTTTCATACTCGCTCAAATCACAAGTCATGCTTTTGTAATGTTTTTAAAGACACACCGAAGATAACCCTGAGAGAGAACACATTTAACACACTTATTTGTAATAGTAATAATACATTTGAAATTATGTTTGATACATATATTTAATCAATATATAAAATATTATTATTGTTATTATTATTATGATTAATAAATAAAAATATAAAATGCACATTAAGTTTCTCTTTAAAAAATCATGACTTCTGCTCTGGTTGGACAGAATTTGAAAGGGTTAATATATTATATTATATTATATTATATTATATTATATTATATTATTGTTTTATTCAAATTCATGTCAACTTAAATTAACCCTGAAACCGAACACTTTTCAATGGCTTGATGTGTAGGTATTATTATTATTATTATTATTTTAATAATAATTCTTTGTATTTTCGTATACAATATTTTTATATTATTATTATTTAATAATAATTATTATTATTATAATTCTTTATATTTTGTATGAAATATTTTGAGATTATTATTTTAATAATAATTATAATTATAACAACAACAAAATATTTCTGGGAAAAAATGATACAAAAAATATTATGACTAAAATAAAATAATAATAAATACGCATCAAGCAATTCACTTTCATTTCATCCAGAAACTGAATTGCTTGATGCGTATTTATTATTATTTTATTTTAGTAATAACGTTTTTTTTGTATCAACCCCCCCAACAAATATTTTGTTGTTGATATAATTATAATTAAAATAATAATCTCAAAATATTTGATACAAAAAACAAAAATTATTATTATATAATAATAATAATACCTACACATCAAGCCATTGAAAAGTGTTCGGTTTCAGGGTTATTTTAAGTTGACATGAATTTGAATAAAACAAAACAATAATATAATATAATATAATATAATATATTAACCCTTTCAAATTCTGTCCAACCAGAGCAGAAGTCGTGCTTTTTTAAAGAGAAACTTAATGTGTATTTTATATTTTTATTTATTAATCATAATAATAATGTTTTATATATTGATTAAATATATGTATCAAATATAATTTAAAATGTTTTATTAAAATGTATTATTACTATTACAAATAAGTGTGTTAAATGTGTTCTCTCTCAGGGTTATCTTAGGAGTCTCTTTAAAAAACAAACAAAAGCATATAATATAATATAATATAATATAATATAATATAATATAATATAATATAATATAATATAATATAATATAATATAATATAATACCAGAGCAGAAGTCATGCTTTTTTAAAGAGAAACTTAAAACAGCCCTAAAACAAAACACTTGAATGGCTTGATGTGTATTTTATATTTTTATTTATTAATCATAATAATAACTTTTTATATATTGATGTATCAAATATGATGGTGATGACAGAATTTGCATTTTTGGGTGAACTGTCCCTTTAAGTAAAAAAGTAATTTGGTTGAATTAGTGTCAATAAGTCCAAATGTTTTAAAGACACTCATCAAAATAGTGTCATTTATCGGTCAATTCAACATTAGAGATTCACTGCCTGGTTGTGTAGAAAAGTGTGAACATCTGATACTCTTTAAAGGACAACTCCGGCGCAAAATGAACCTCGGGTGTAATAACACATTGGTACAGACTAAATCGTTCCCTGAGATTTGTTTTCATGATAATCGAATATAAAGAGTTTTATCTCTAAAAACAGTTTAGCTTATAACGCTAGTATATTGGGCATCGAGTAAGCAAAAAGAGATCGCTAGTTAATACCATTAACAAGGCTCAAATTAGCCCCACACTAACACGTTAACATAATGAGTGTCCTTACATGCAAACCGAAGCATTGAGAACTTTGTAAGTGTATAGACAGTTTAATAAGAAGATACTTTACACAGACAGTACAGTTAGCGCATACAGACAGGACCCATCTTGGAAAACAGCCTCGATCAGTCAAACCACGAAGGTGAGCGAACAGTACGTGTAGATATTGAAGATAAGATAAATTATATTTATTTTTTTATTTTCTCTGTTGCGTTCAGTGCTTCTCTTATGCGCTCAGTGCTTTCTTCCGGAAACAATGGACCATATGAGATTCCAAGTCACAGTTCAGCTCACGTATCACCGTGTTCGTGGTTTGACTGATCGAGACTGTTTTCCAAGATGGCTGCTGTCTGTATGCGCTAGCTGTACTGTCTGTGTAAAGTATCTTCTTATTAAACTATCTATACACTTACAAAGTTCTCAATGCTTCGGTTTGCATGTAAGGACACTCATTATGCTGCCGTGTAAGTGTGGGGGTAATTTGAGCCTTGTTAATGGTATTAACTAGCGATCTCTTTTTGCTTACTCGATGCCCAATATACTAGCGTTATAAGCTAAACTGTTTTTAGAGATAAAACTCTTTATATTCGATTATCATGAAAACAAATCTCAGGGAACGATTTAGTCTGTAACAATGTGTTATTACACCCGAGGTTCATTTTGCGCCGGAGTTCTCCTTTAAATCTGAACAGCTAAAATGTGAATGAGTGTAGAAATAAAAACCAGATACAGTTTCTGATCCTATCACTTGCTGTCCTGTGGAGAACAGGTTGCACCAGTATTAGGTCACATGACCGTGGCACAGGTGTGCTGGGTGGATCCTGTATCAGGTCACATGACCGTGGCACAGGTGTGCTGGGTGGATCCGGACGTGCCGGTCTCGACTGTACCTGTGCCGTAGTAATCCTCCTCCTGCTTGATGGTCACCGGGGACGAGCCGTTGCTGTTCTCCCAGCTGGAGGCCTCGGGACACTGCTTAACACACACACACACACACACACACATAACAACCTTTATCATTACAGCTTTTCTGACTGCACACACAACAACACACACCCAAAAGTGAGAGTCCATACCTTCATCTTTTCTTCTTTTTCAGCTGCTCGCTTCTTTCCTGTGAGAAACACACACACACACACACACATCTAGATCAATGCATGCAAATCATGAAACCTGGCAAGTCATTTTTCACCCCAAAATCAAATAGGAAATTAAAAAATGTAATTATATATTTTCATATGTTATAGCATATATTATTGAAATGATATTTGCTATTTATAATGATATGATAATGAAGCTATTTTAGGGCCATTAAGATGTTTAAGTAACTAAATTCTATATAAATTCTAGTAAATTATATATATACAATAGTATTACTACGATGCAAACATGTTTTTTATGTTTAGTTCTCATTAGATTTTTTTTTAGTTTTTATTAAAATCAACATAAAGAACAAAACAAATATCACCATGACATATACATAAATTAGGGCTGTCAAAATGAACCCGTTAATTTTGTGATTAATTATTTTCAGATTAATGCGTTAAAAATGCATTAGTTTTTTCCCTGGCATCCTTTGGTGTCACACTACTATATGATCAAGCTGTCATTCATTCAAGTGCTTTTAAACCATTCAAACGCGATAAGACGTGAAAGAGAAGAGGGACAAAAACACAAATTTATGTCGAAATGCCTGTTATTGGCGAGTATCCTCATTAGCATAGTCCTAAATGAGTTAAAAAGGCTTAAATAAAGGTAAAAAGCGTGTCAGATCCGCGTCATGTGCGTCAGCTCTTAAAGGGACAGTAGCCTAATAAACAAAAATATTGAGCCGCTGTTTCCAACATTGATAATAAATCAGATTATGACAAGGATTTCTGAAGGATCATGTGACACTGAAGACTGGAGTAATGATGCTGAAAATTCAGCTTTGATCACAGAACTAAATTATATTTTAAAGTATATTAGAATAGAAAACCATTATTTTAAATTGTAATAATATTTCACAATAGTACTGTTTTTTCTGTATTTTTGATCAAATATATGCAGGCTTGAAGAGCATAAGAGACTTCTTTCACAAATATTAAAAATGGTAATGTTTCCAAACTTTCGACCGGTACTATATGTGAATATGTATAATGTTTGCATTACAGTAATGATAAGTTGAAGGAAAATGCATAATATTGTCTTGAAAATAATGTAGACAAATTCATTTATTTATTTTAAAAAAAAAAATTGGGGGGTGAAATATGACATGAACATATTTTCTTCTCAGCTTTTGTGAGACACATCAGTTACAGGTACTTGGGCAGACTAAGTGGGATCATACCAGAATTATTATAGTTAACGAACACTAAAACCATGAAAAAAGTGTCACTAGAAATAAATTAAATTTTAACAAATAAATTAAAATGTAAAAAAAAACCCGTCAAACTTAAGCTAGTTGCAACATTTCTTATTTCCATGTAGTTTAAGTTCTACTAAAATAACTAAACTGAAATAATAATTAATAAAAAATTTAAACAAATTGTTTAAAAACAAACTAATACAAATGTCAAAAATATTAACAAAAAAAATTTAAAATTAAAATATATAAATATAAGGCAAAACACTGATAAAAACAATAGTATCTCAGTGAAATACCACTCTTGGGTTTGATTAAACACACAGGTCATGCTTTGATCACAGAAATGTCTTTAAACTCCACATCATCATGTCCAGGCATGTCAGAATAAAATGAAGGTGTGTCTCTGTGATGAAGTCAGAAGCAGTGTTTACATGGACCCTAATAATCCCATTGTAACTGGACTAGTAGCACAGGCAGAATTAAAAAATAAAACGCATGTAACCACGCAAATCGGAATGAATTGGTCAAATCAACAGTCCTTGTTTCGGACCCTCATCCCCGCAGCACGGCACAACGGTTCTTGTGCTCATCGTCGAAATACATAAATATAAAGTCTGCTCTTTAAAACAAAGAAAAGAAGCGATGCAGGAGGATAGTTAGTGCAAACAGCAGGAAACTATATTCGTGCAGTGTGAACATTTGGGCTGTCACTTTACGATCGGACCAACCAACACAAGTATCCAAAATGAAAATAGGGAATCGATTTTAAATGCCTTTTTTTTTTTATAACCAAAAATGTGTTTTATGTGGACAGATCAGTACAGTACACAGAACATGTAGGATGCTGGAAAATAACAATGTCTTTTCTGTTCACCAAATGCTTTTTAATATTCGCTATTGCTTCAATGCAAGTGAACAAGCGCGCCGTTATTTGTTGCGTAGTGACGTGTGTGTATGTGTGTGTGTGTTCAAGTGAGCCAGAAATGTACAGATTCTGCAATACGCTGTATTAATATATGATGAGGATCACGAGTTGCGTATTTGCGCTAAATCCGCGCAGATTTGTCTTACACGAACTTCCCCAGGAAAGAAAGTGAGTAAACACAGAAACGCCAGATTGGCTCGTGATTTGACAGCGTTTCCCGCCAAAGTTCATTTTTACCCGCATTTGGCGAGTCGAGGGAGTTAATCTCAATCCCTGAATGTTGCGCTCCTGTTTGTCATTGTGCTGAAACTTCACGCCAATAAATCATCAGGAATATTGCTGACTTGTGCGTCTCAAGCGCCCTCTTTACGCTCGTCCTAATGCCTGTTAGGTGTCCGTGGATTCGCCTGTATTTGGTGTTGAAAATGTAAATGTCTTTAGACATGGAAAATCGATTTTACAATCGATTCAATGAACACTTATGTCTCAAAAATCAAACAGGATTTTTTCACAAAAGTGACAGCCCTAGTGTACATGTCAAAAAATCAATTCTGATTTGAAGCTTGTGACATATAAACACACTATAAACCCGATCACTTTCTTTAGCGGTGACGTTCGGATTCATCAATCGTATTGAAACAAAAGGTGTCCATGTAAACGTTGCTAGTGCCAGTATGGATGCGTGTCATCGACTGACCTCTCTTTGAGTGCCTCTCGGACGCTGACAGCATCTTGTAAACTCTGAAGGCGTTTGTTCCCTTTTTGATGCTTTTGTCCTTCACCTCTTCTATGTCGGGCAGGGAGTTCATGGCACAGCGGAAGTTTGCCTTCCATGTTTTGGGGTCCGGTTTGTCACCTGGTTGATATTTACCTAAAGAAATGGCAGTGGAAAACCAGATACACTTATAATATAGAATGACATTTCACTTCTGCTTTTTATATATTTGTATTGCCTTCATTAAATACAGATGTAGAAGAAACTCAAATTATACATAAGAATGAGAATATCATATATATCATATAGTGTTGGACTCTTTGGATTTGGAAAATAAGTGTCCTCCTAGTATACTCCATCAACCAACTAGTAAAACCCTAGCATCGACCCAGAACCCCCCATCAACCAACTAGTAAAACCCCAGCATCTTCCCAGAACCCCCCATCAACCAACTAGTAAAACCCTAGCATCGACCCAGAACCCCCCCATCAACCAACTAGTAAAACCCTAGCATCGACCCAGAACCCCCCATCAACCAACTAGTAAAACCCTAGCATCGACCCAGAACCCCCCATCAACCAACTAGTAAAACCCTAGCATCCTCCCAGAACCCCCCCATCAACCAACTAGTAAAACCCTAGCATCGACCCAGAACCCCCCATCAACCAACTAGTAAAACCCTAGCATCGACCCAGAACCCCCCATCAACCAACTAGTAAAACCCTAGCATCCTCCCAGAACCCCCCCATCAACCAACTAGTAAAACCCTAGCATCGACCCAGAACCCCCCATCAACCAACTAGTAAAACCCTAGCATCGACCCAGAACCCCCCATCAACCAACTAGTAAAACACTAGCATCCTCCCAGAACCCCCCCATCAACCAACTAGTAAAACCCTAGCATCGACCCAGAACCCCCCATCAACCAACTAGTAAAACCCTAGCATCGACCCAGAACCCCCCATCAACCAACTAGTAAAACCCTAGGATCCTCCCAGTACACCCCATCAACCAACTAGTAAAACCCTAGGATCCTCCCAGTTCACTCCATCAACCAACTAGTAAAACCCCAGCATCCTCCCAGAACCCCCCCCCCCCCCCCCATCAACCAACTAGTAAAACCCTAGCATCGACCCAGAACACCCTGTCAACCAACTAGTAAAACCGTAGCATCCTCCCAGAACCCCCCCCCCCCCCCATCAACCAACTAGTAAAACCCTAGCATCCTCCCAGAACCCCCCATCAACCAACTAGTAAAACCCTAGCATCCTCCCAGAACCCCCCCATCAACCAACTAGTAAAACCCTAGCATCCTCCCAGAACCCCCCATCAACCAACTAGTAAAACCCTAGCATCCTCCCAGAACCCCCCCATCAACCAACTAGTAAAACCCTAGCATCCTCCCAGAACCCCCCATCAACCAACTAGTAAAACCCTAGCATCCTCCCAGAACCCCCCCATCAACCAACTAGTAAAACCCCAGCATCCTCCCAGAACACCCCCCCCATCAACCAACTAGTAAAACCCTAGCATCGACCCAGAACCCCCATCAACCAACTAGTAAAACCCTAGCATCCTCCCAGAACCCCCCATCAACCAACTAGTAAAACCCTAGCATCCTCCCAGAACCCCCCATCAACCAACTAGTAAAACCCTAGCATCCTCCCAGAACCCCCCCCATCAACCAACTAGTAAAACCCTAGCATCCTCCCAGAACCCCCCCCCCCCCCCTCCCCATCAACCAACTAGTAAAACCCTAGCATCCTCCCAGAACCCCCCCCCCCCTCCCCATCAACCAACTAGTAAAAACCTAGCATCCTCCCAGAACCCCCCCCCCCTCCCCATCAACCAACTAGTAAAAACCTAGCATCCTCCCAGAACCCCCCCCCCCCCCCCCATCAACCAACTAGTAAAAACCTAGCATCCTCCCAGAACCCCCCCCATCAACCAACTAGTAAAACCCCAGCATCTACCAAGAACACCCTGTCAACCAACTAGTACACCCAAAACCCTAACCCTAACCCAACTAGAAACCCCAGCAACCATTCAAAACTCCCAAACAACCACAATGCCAACAACAACAGCTCGTCTCTGCAAATGCAAAACAGCATCCTCACATTGTGACTGAGTTTTAAACAGGTAAGCACACTATTTTGTTCAGAGAATGAGATTTTCACACAAAAGTTCTGTCTGTGTGTGTTTCTGTTTACATATGTCAATATTTCATGCTGACTGCACCTGTATGTATGGCCCAGTTTCGGAAGAGAGGAGCATCTTTCTCCACATCCCAGCCGTGTCGCGCGGCATGCATCCATGGAATCTGGAATATTCTCTTCTCCTGCAGGCAAAGAACATGCAAAACATGTCACGGACCAAGACAAACCCTGCGTATGTGCACTTAAAAAAGACAAAACACTTCACAAATAATAGCATCGTGCTCATGGCGATTATAGTTTTAACAAATCAATGCTATAAAAAGACTAGCACAGTCACTGTACCTTGTTGACCCATTTGAGCCCCGGTATTTTACACGAGTTTATCTGCTCTTCTAACCACGGCCTCATACGCATTCTCTCTACCGGCATGCTGTCCTAGAGAAAAAGAGAGAGAGATAGAGAGAGATCTGGAATTTGTCAAAGTTTGACAGCAACTTTTCCTCCTTCAACAGGTTGTACATTCCTTCACGGCTTTCCAGGAAGCAAGATGACAAACTTTAACCCCATTTCTGAAAACAAACCACCAGGAAAGACCGTCTGAATCACAATTTACTGAAAGTTACAGCAAACAAAATGATTATCAGATGATTGGTTTTTGCTCCATGAGTCAGGCCCTGAATGACAACACAAACAGAGGACGCTGAAGTGTTTGTGTGCTTGTGTGTGTGTGTGTGAGAGAGAGAGAGAGAGTTTATCTAAGAACGAGTGCATGTGGCTAAACCTGTAATATTGATCATGCATTATGATGACAGACATCAGAACTGCTTGATGTTGCTTGATTCTTGAATGTGCAAATCAAAAGTTACCGATTAACCCATTTGAGCTCATAAAAAGGTTTATAGTTAATCACAATGAAAACTCACTCTTTAAAATCATTCGTTTGTCGCTCAGACCTTTGAGCTTTTATGGTCCATTAAGACGTAAGAGTGAACAAAGGCATAGAACAACAACATTTCACTGCATACTAACATGAGAAACAGAATTATGATGCAACATGTTAAAACACAATCTTTTAAACCACACAAAACCATAACTCAATAACTAGGGAAGCATGATGAAATATTGGTCTTATATCAGCTGATGTTAGTGTTTAGCTCACTTGTACTGGATATTTCACTGTTTCTGCCTATATTTACATTTTTTGCCATCATGTAGTGCCAACATAAATGGAAAGCATTAGATTAAGAGCTCTCTTTCTTAAAGAAACCCGTTTTTAACATGTTCTGTGAATATCAAGCTATATTTATCAGCTTATCAGACAGAATTTGGATACATATATTGGTCCACCAGTTCATGACAGACTCTTTCCATTGCAGTGCCAAACTGCCAATGTTACACCCTGTACTTGCCCATGTAAGTCAATAACAATATCCACAAGTCCATGCCAACTTCTCAACAGCATAATTTGATAATAAAACACGTTATTCATTACGTCTGCACTGTACTTACTGTAAAATGACATTGTGGCGTCCAATGTGGCCCAATCATTCTTTACAGTACACTGAACCAGAAGACTTCAACCTCCTTAAATAAGTGTGTTATTGTTGTCAAGTCAACTCAAAAGTGAAAATAAACATTCCTTGATTCCCATTGGATCCAAACACCCCTTGACTTTCGATTCTACACTCACCCCAGCAACTCAACGTGGCCTACAGCATAAACATGCACTTATATTCATACGAGCCCCCATAAATACATGCGGAAATGCGATTTATTACCTGCGACGGGTGGAAAACACTCCAGGAATAAAAGCAAATAGTCTGTGAAGAGTCTTGACAATTTGTAGTTCTCGATAACAAAACGAAAAGTCAAATGGGTTTGATTTCGCTCTTCAGATCGAAAGCAAAACAAGTGAAGGAAACAAGCGCTTGGGTGGAAATCCCCAGTGTGCGTGTGTGTGAGTGTGTGTTGTGCGCTTACTTCGTGTTTACAAATCCTACTATGGGGCAGAAGTGTCTCATTAATATTAACGACGTAGCGAGCCGTTCGCGAGCTGATTGGATGGCATATGAGGAGTGCGCATATAAGTGGGAGGGAATTGTGTCATGGGGAGAGCTTGCCTCATGAATATTAATTACGTAGCGAGACGTTCACACACCGATTGGCTGAAAAGCAGACTTGTTTGTAAATTGGTTTCTTTTACAAAAAATAAACTGGGAAAATCCATAGTACAAATAATAGAAATCTTTTTGTATTACCACACAAGGTAAAATTGCATAGTATCGCTCGTGAATATTACATATATTGCGAAAAAATATTTGTTTTTTATTGTTATTATTTTTAAATTAACATCACTGACACCTTATTGTATTAAATATTCCCTGTCACACATGTGACTGAGTGTATTGCTTATATCGCAATACTACATATAAATGAATCAAGCCCTTTGAAATTCACATTTACTGGACGCTCCAGAGAGTTTAACCCAAGCAACGTCTTTGGACCTACTTAATATTCATGAGCTAAGTCTTTGCCATAGTAGTTTTTGAGCTGGTGTGCTTATTGGCTGCAGGGTGAAATGCGAAAGTCGATTTCATTTTCACTTCCTCGTTGTTTCGTTATTGCTTCTTAAAGGCGAAGCTGCAACGTGCAGAAGTGCTGGTTGTGTTTGAATAGGAAAATGTCCAAAGTTTCATGTTCCTGAGAGTTCAGTTGTGATATATCACATATATTTATGTGCAGATGTTGTGTATTGCTCTGTTCAAAATTGCATTCGCATTTTTTTATGTTTTTTATGTAAGTGCACATATTATTTCAGTCCATCACTGTAGCTGGAATGACATTTGCAAAAAAAATCATGAGTTTTAGAGATGAGATTGGCCATGCAAGTCGTTAGTTAAAGGTATAGCTGTGCAATTCTATCCTCATTGTGTCCACACACACACACACACACACACACACAGTCTCATATCTTATCTCTGCTGCCAAGCCCTGCAACTCCCAGCATATGATGCAACACACAAACTCTAGCAACACAAACCCCATTTAAATAATGCATTGGACTCATAGTCATTATTACTAGAGCACTATAATTGCAAAAAGCATTTCTAAAACCCACTTTCTTTCTTAAATCATCCAGGTTTTCCCCTGTATGTAGTTTTGAATCAAACAACACAAAAAGGAAACAGCTTGATGGAGATTTGAGAAACAAGACTGAAACAGAAATAAGGTAAGGTTTCGGGGAGCAGTTCTGCTTTCTGTTGCATTTCTCAGGAACACACCTTGTTTTTCAGCTGATCTACAACATCGCGCCACCTAGTGGTGAAGAAACACTGCAGTTTGCAGAGGAATCATGTCAACAAACTGCATGCTGTGAAGTGAGAATGTTCTCAAAAATAATAGCATGAATATTTATTTTTTAAATATAATTCAACATTAACTGAATATGTGTGTTTCTACATATGTAGACGTTATACACTACCTTTCAAAAGTTGTTTTTGAAAGAAACACTTTTCGACTGTATTAGGTATTAATTTAAACTGCTGCTTTTAGATCAGAATTCACAGATTAAATAGTTTTTAAAATTTTTAATATTTTTTTTAAAAAGAAGTCTCTTTTGCTTACCAATGCTCCATTTGATCAAATCAGTAATATTGTGAAATATTATTAGGATGTAAAACATCTGTTTTCTATGTGAATATATAGTAAAGTGTAATTTATTCCTGTGATCAAAGCTGTATTTTCAGCATCATTACTCCAGTCTTCAGTGTCACATGATCCTTCAGAAATCACTCTAATATGATTTGATGCTCGACACACACACACACACACACACACACACTTTATCTTGTTTTTGACATTTCTCTTCTCATCTTCAGTATTTGCTCAACTCAAAGCTAATTACACAACACACACAAATGAAATACAAAAGTAAAATGTTTATTTATCATCATTAAAAATTGTGCTAATGTTTTTATTCACATCTTCTTTCTATAAATGAATCTTTATTGCATGAAACGCAGACATACAGATGAGGCTTAAATGATAGTAATTTCAAATACTCCCATTAAAATAAAAGTACATTAAAATGCAGTGTTTGACTGGAGTCTGTCACTAAACCGCTACAGCCAAACCAAAAATGATTCAGACACCAGATATCATTTTTGATATTTTTTTACTAGTGTGTGCAGGACTCTGTAGTTCATTTATGTAAGTGAGGAGAGCAAAATAAAGTAAACGGTGACATATTACACCCAAAAATTCTTTATACCAGTCAAATTTATACAAATTTGGGAGCAAAAATGATTCCTCCACTTTGAGCTGATGATGTTTTGCTGAAGTCTGTTTTCTGTAATTGCTAATGCTCTTTTTACACACACACACACACACACACACACACACACACACACACACACACACACACACACACACACACACACACACACACACACACACACACACACACACACACTGAACAACATGAAGCATTGCTTGGTCACTGGTTGAGCTAAACTGGTATTATCTAATTGTGTAGTTAAATTTAACAGCTGACAGATATTCAACATAATTCATGTGTGAGAGTCTAACAGAAGGACGGACAAAACCAGTCAAATATCAACTGAGTTCTCGTCATATTTAATTACCATTTTCTAAACTATAGCGAATAAACTGTGATAATGTGAGAAATGTTGATGGTGTCTGAGTAAACTTTGTTTTGATTGTACATACAATAAAAGTGTTCTTATCCCATTGCAACTTAATCTGTAAAATAAAGATGAATTATTTAGGGAAGTAGAGGTCTTTGGTCAGCATAGATACAATGCAAGGGATCTGTTTCTTGCCACCGAACCCTGGCATATTACTGTAGGATTCGAAGTCGAACGCCACCTTGTGGTTGACACGCGTCATGATCTGCATGATCTCCAGTTGCTTGCCGTATTTTAACAGCATCTCACAGAGCGAAGAGATGAACCAGGAACCCTGAATGACGTTCCTCCAGGCGTAATACCCTGAGGAGAGACAGAAAACACACGTTTGAGGGCGAGTGGCATTGTTTCTGTGAGGAAACTGCCTTGAGCGAGACATTAGATACCTGGTGCTGTGGAGTACGCGTACAGAAAGTCGGCCTCCACAGGAATTCTCTTCGTTTCCATTTCACTTTCGCCATCCGATTCAACGCCAGGGTCCAGACCTGTGCCTCGACAAGCCTGGAGACACACACAGGATCAACACATCCGTGGAAGAGCAACTTCAACCGTGTGTAAGTTCATAAGTCGACAGCATTGCTGAGTAAAACTGCAGTGAACCAAAGACAGTCTCAAAAACACGGTTTGAAATCGCTGGTGTTTCTGACGTCACAAACGACCTTGTAACCAATCAGATCAACGTGTGATCGTCAACCAGTGGATCTCTGAGCTGAGGGAGTGAGTGGAGGCGGGGCTCATTTGCATATTCATACAACCGCGCATACTAAATGAGGCAAGGGTGTCGAGTTACATTCAAGATATTTTAAGGCATTACGATTTTTTTTCCAAGGAAACATTTTTATAAATATGTAATTTTGGTGATCAAAGATGAGTTTTAAGGGATAAAATGATTGATTACAGGGAGACTTTAACATTTTGGATGATTTTCTCAGTGATTCCTCAGTCAACAATGAGTCGTTCTAATTCTAACCTACATATCCATCGACGGTTTCTTGTAATTATATGTTTGTATGTAATGATTTTTAAGGGGTAAAATTATTCACTACAGGGAGACTTTTGTCAGAACGTACAACCCAGAAGCGCTGCGCTGTTACACTACGAGAACTCACTCGAGGCCCACAGAGAAGAAGATGAAGAGTTGAATAAAGTCGTTATTTTTGTAAGTATTCTCGTCGCTTGATAAACTTAAGGTTGAGCCACTGTCGTCACTCGGACTATTTTAACGATGTCTTTACTTACTTTCTGGGCCGGCAAGTTTTAATTACAATAGAAGCCTATGGAGGAGTGATCCAGCTCTCAGATTTAATCAAAAATATCTTAATTTGTGTCCCGAAGATGAACGAAAGTTGAACAACATGAGGGAGAGTAATTACTGACAGTTTCATTTTTGGGGTGAACGAACCCTTTAATGGTTTTCTGTTAGAACGGTGTCGTGTAAGTTAATAACTAATGATCTTTGCGACGGAAGTGAATCAATCTAAACTAACTTTAGCTGGACAATAACTTTATTCTAGAGCTGCTGTAACACCTAAACAATCTCTGTTACTGTAATCTCCTGTTATCACTGTAAAACTGCTGTGAAACTCTATATGGTTAACAGCGCTGTATAAATGAAGGAGACTTGACTCATGACGCTCACCTGAATGAAGAAGAGCTTGGGTTTCCCCACCAGTGAAGTGCAGCGATCTCCTCTGAAGAGCTCAAACAGTGTCTTCATTGGTATAGCACCATCCGTGCCATAAATCATCCCATCGTCTCCATGACTCAACAACACACACACAAACATGGCCGACTTACTGTGATCCTCCCGAGACACTGAGGATGGAAGACCTCGTGAGATTACGAGCCATTCAATTATTCTAATCAATCAGTGTTGCAAAACGTACCTTTAGTTAACAAATTCTTCATCTCCGAGACAGTTTGATCATTTGCAATACTGACTTTGAAGCCTAGCTTTGAGAAGGTCGCCATCACACTCTTTGCATCCTCGTCTGTCCCGTTACGAACTCCCATCGCTGTTTAAAAGAGATTAATATGAGGACAACCAAACACCTGAACTAAACCTTAAAGGGGTCATATAATGGTACATGCACTTTTTCAAGTTGATTGTACTGAAATGTGTGTTGGCAGTGATTGTTGATTGATAGGCGCGTTTCAACACAGACCCGCCCTCGCTCGTGAGAGCTGTCAATCATAGTCTGCGCGGACCGGCGCGGTCATTGTTGATATGCTGGAGCACTGTCTATGAGCAGAATGGCGTCTAAGCGATTGTGGTGTTCTGTTCTTGGGTGTAATAACGAACACAGTCATTTTAATGTTCCTAAATCCGAACCGCTGAAGACGCAGTGGCTGAGTTTGTTTTCAAAGGGAATATTCCCCACGAGCAACGTCAATGCTCTCATGTTTGCCGAATCATTTCTCACCAGACTGCGTATAAACGAGGGTCAGTATAAAGCTGGTTTTGCTAAGAAGCTGCTCATGAAAAAAGGATCGGTACCAGATATTCGTGTTCCTGCTGAACCTCTAGAACAACTGAAGTGAGTGTAACGTTTTATTAAACTTTATATTAATATTTATATTAATCTTTGCAAATCGCTAGCTGCACGCTTCACAATGAATGTGTCTAAGGTTTACACTCAGGGTACATTACGGCATGTTTTCTATGTATGATGTTCTCAATATAATTCATAATCCCACGTTTATACTGAACAACGCGTTATGGTTATTGTGTTATTGAGTTACAAACGGTGTATGCACAGAACAGAGAGGCGGGGTGAGCACAGCTCATTATCATTTAAAGTCATATACACTTAAACGGCGTGCTGAAAACAGAGCTGTTTTTGACCAGGTAAAATAAGTGTTTTCTTACAATACTAATGAGAATTTTTTATTAAAGTATATTACAAACTTTTAATTTAGACCCTAAAGAATCATATTAGCTTGTACAAAAATTGCGTTATATGACCCCTTTAAAGTGTCATGAATAGGGGTGTGACGGTTATAGTTGAACACCGTCATTAGAACTCTATAACCGCCAAAACCGTGTTAATAAAATATCTTGCAGATAAGGTTATACTAATATCAGTGTTGGGGAGTAACGGAAAACATGTACCGGCGTTACGTATTCAGAATACAAATTATGAGTAACAGTAGTCTCCACAGAACATAAAATATTCATTTTATTTTATGCTTCGTGTTCGCATTGATGAGGAAAAAACAATGTTACGGATGTGACCGGTCTGAAAGCGCCACTAAAAGACGTGACATTTAATCACATCTCACAGAGTAAAACGTTCACAGAGACATCAAACAGAAAGCACAAAACCTTTCTTTAAAGTGAATTTCGTTTTGTTTTAATTGTATCTTAATTTTAATCAATGTTTCATAAACCAATTGCCTGGATTTAATAAATAAGAAGTAAATATAACAGACGATAGATAGCCTAGAAGGTAGCCTCACAGACACAGACATGTCTACTTTTAAACAGAACAATTTAAACCGAAAGAAAACAGACTACAGACTGCTCTCTGCTTATGCGATCCTTATGAAATATGCATTTCTCTCTGGCGCGTTCACTACTGCGAAGATTGCGAGTCAGCATCGTCAACTTCATCTTTGCAGCCGACACTGACAAAGAATAGGCCTGTTTTTTTTGTTAAGCTTTTGTTTACTGTGTGTGATTCATTTAATGGAAAGCACATTCACTGCTAGTTGTCTTGCTGTTAATTTAAAATAAACGTAGAGTAGATAATCACTAATCAGTGTCTGCTCGTTTATTCAAATTAAGTTGTCCTATAACAGACGAACGTCGCAACGCCCCGCCCCCTCCCCGACGACGTTATGTTACGAACCGTCACATTTGACTCACTTCATAACCGCCATCAATAATTCTGAAACCGGCACACCCCGAGTCATGAAACCCCTCTGTTTAAAGGGTTACTCCACTTTTTTTGGAAATAGGCTCATTTTACAACTCCCCCAGAGTTAAACTGTTGAGTTTTACCGTTTTTGAATCCATTCAGCCGATCTCCGGTTCTGGCGGTACCACTTTTAGCATAGCTTAGCATACATCATTGAAGTGGACAAGACCATTAGCATTTCTAAAAAAAAATGACCAAAGAGTTTCGATATTTTTCCTATTTAAAACTTGACTCTTCTGTAGTTACATCGTGCACTAAGACCGACGGAAAATGTAAAGTTGCGATTTTCTAGGCTGATATGGCTAGGAACTATACTCTCATTCCTGCGTAATAATCAAGAAACTTCACTGCCGTACCATGAGTGCAGCAGGCGTAATGATATGAGGCAGCGCCTGAAAATAGTCCCCAGCTCAGTAACTTCCAACGTGACCGGGACTAAATTTGTGTAGTTTCAGTCGGCAAATTAGGTTTTCAGGCGCTACGTCATATCATTACGCCTGCTGCACTCATGGTACGGCAGTGAAGTTTCTTGATTATTACGCAGGAATGAGAGTATAGTTCCTAGCCATATCAGCCTAGAAAATCGCAACTTTACATTTTCCGTCGGTCTTAGTGCACGATGTAACTACAGAAGAGTCAAGTTTTAAATAGGAAAAATATCGAAACTCTTTGGTCATTTTTTTTTAGAAATGCTAATGGTCTTGTCCACTTCAATGATGTATGCTAAGCTATGCTAAAAGTGGTACCGCCAGAACCGGAGATCGGCTGAATGGATTCAAAAACGGTAAAACTCAACAGTTTAACTCTGGGGGAGTTGTAAAATGAGCCTATTTCCAAAAAAACTGGAGTATCCCTTTAAGCCTGGTCGTTCACACCTCTGAAGGGCCGTACACACCGGGATGAATATCGGCGTGCGTTATTCGTCAGCGTTTTTCAACGCGTTTTTTGTGTTCACACCCAAGCGATTTTCGCTGACGATGAGCCGAGTGAACATGCTAATCCATTCCCTGACATTAGATGGCGCTTAATGTAAAACAGAAATAGTCCTATGTTGTAGTCGCTGTCGCGTTTGTCATATAGTTCTTTATGTTCCGACAGCAACGAGACCAGCAGCTCTACATTCATCTGGCCTCGCGTCTTCCTCGTCTTATTTCTTCACGGCAGTGTAGACGCTACTTGGCGTATATCTTCTTCGCCGTTACGTGTGTGTGCTCGGCAAGACCGTTTTGTGTTTGAGCGCCCCCAAGTTGTGTTTTACTGTAACTTCAGAAGCTCCAGACATGTGAGCAAAAGCACCAATCTCATTGGCCGGATAGTTTTTGACGCGGCGCGTCAAACCAAAAAAACGAACCCGACGCGTTTTTAAAAAAATGACGCTTTTACGCGTGGCGTTTTTCGCGTCGGTGTGCACACTCACATTGGCGCCCTTTGTTTAGTCATGAGGCGTTAAACGTCGGCCGGTATGAACAGACCTCGAGTTTCAAAAAGTCTCTAGAAAATAGAAATGTGCGTGAAAAATGTGAAAAAGTGGGAGTGTAGTGTGGGAAAAATAAACCAATAAAACACAGACCTGCAACACACTCATTATACAGACACATGAATATTCAAATATGACCATTGAGGGGAAAAAACCAGAGTTGAGGGCGCCTCGATGCATTTAACCCTCTGATGTTCTTCGGGGTCTTTTTAACCCGCAAATGACTTTTGCTGAATTTAAAAAAAATGTCTCTTTGTCCACATGGCATGAAACTTTGTACGGCTCTCAACCCTTTCTAGATCTACCAAAGAAAAAATAAATAATGATATCAGAAAAATAGTAGCACTCGTGGTCTTTGGGGTCTCCAACTGTTATTTTTTAACAGAACAATAGTTTTTTTAACAAATGTAATTTTACTCTGTTTATTAATGTTTAAACTCCACATTTGTGCAGTTTTTGGAGGATTTATATACAAAAATAGCTTTTTATGAAGAATTCACTTTATAAAAGACCCACCACATTTCTAAATTTCATTTATCGGGATAACATGGATAATTTTACATGGTTTAGTGTAAATTTTTTGGCCATATTTTCAAAAATGTAGTTTTAAAAGTAAAACATTATAATTTTAGACATATTTGAGAATTTCAGAATTTTGGCTATAGAGCTCCAGTATATATCTTTTTTTCATATAATTGTACAAATGTAATCTACACTTCAGTTACTAACTGTAAAAGAACAGATATGTACAGTTATATTACATATTGAGTACAAACCGATCACATGTGACGTAGAATCGAGCCGACAGCCAATCACACGCTCCGAAGGCGTGCTTCTACCTCACATTCCCTGACGTTGCCTCGACTTTGCTTTTCTACCCGGAAGAACAAAAATTGCTCAGAAAAATGCAAAAATAACCTATTTATTGGTTGTATTGGAGTGTTTTTAGTGTTGTTGCACTTCATGAAATTGCACTGTCGATTGATGCTCTAAGGTAATCTCCTTGTAACATTGCAATGACAATAAATTATTATTATTCAGTGATGTGCAGCCTGTTCATATCGGTTCATATCTCAAAAAAAATTTAGTTTTAGGGGTTTCATGACCCTTTAAACCCGTCTGTGTGCTTCCCAGCTCTTACACGTTTTTCTGTGGAAGTTCTTGTTGTTGATGATCACGCATTGTCCCAGACTGCCGTAGTTCATGTTGTACTGGAAAGCATCAGAATGTGGTTTGGCATCTGTGTAATCGACTCCGGCATCGGTGAGAAACGGAGTCCTGCGAGAGCAAACACTTTTATGAGTAATTCCTAATTAAAGTGCAAATTATTGACGTTCACTTCAGGATGTGGTAAGGTAGCAGATACTTTCATTAACTTCACACTGTGAACTTCACAAGCGGCATGAAACGGAAACTGTGCTCGTCTTTTCTTCCCTATTGCGATTCCCTTTTGCGCCGACGTCACAATTACGTCACGGCGCTAGCTGGAGGCAAAACAAACGGACAACTGGAGGCGCCCGATACAAAACCAGCACAGATTCGGCTACATAATGAGCTTGAATTATTATTATTATTATTATTAAATGTCATCTTGTTATGTTGTTGGGTGCAATAATCAATGAAAAACGAATATGCTGTATCTGGAATTTTTATTTCTAGAAAATATTCACATCACCGCGTCTACGGGCCAGCCAATCTGGTTCCGTCCGTTAAAATTAACTTTTGCAAATAACAATCGCGGTCCTGGACACTGAGTGACCTTACACATTAAGATAAAATCGGATTTTCTCCAGTCATTGTTAAAAAACAAGCTAACAAAACTTGCAAACTAGCGTTAGGGAAGCGGCCAGAGGGATCGTTCTGCCCACCTAAGCTCCGCCCACAAAAAACGTCACCATGTTTACCGATGTTTACTAACTGAAAAGGGGCAACCTGTCACTCACACGAGATTCACCAATAGAGACAGAGTGACACGCATCATAATTTGAAACCACCCCCACACTCAATTGAGAAAAATAATAATAAAAATCCTTACAATTACAATAGGTTTTCAGCACTTCGTGCTTGAACACCTAATAATAAGCGACCTTTTTGACAGTTATAGCGCCACCTATGGTCCGATCTCCATGAAACTTTGCATGCTTCCTCAGCATGTTAGGACACATATGCTCATCAATTTTGGTGAAGTTCTGACTTTTTCTTCAGGATTTATAGGCTTTTGACTGCATTTTGCCATGAACCATTTCCTAAATGACCCTGTTATAGCCAACCAAATGCAAATTTTCAACTTTTTTTTCGATAATTATTGATCTAGAGACTCCAGAGAACATTTCTGCACCAGTTTGGTTCCGATCAGGCAAAAAACCAGGGACTAGTTTGCAATTTAAAGTCTCAATTGACTTTGTATTGTGTGAAGCGGCCTCCTTGTCATTTCTGACTTATAACAAAAAACAAAACAATGTCTAAAAGCTGCTATGTGACGAGGTGTACAGCAAACAAGCTAAAAAAACCGGAAATAGGTTTTTTATAAGCTGTCAACCCCAAAAAAACAAGCGTTTAGGGACACAAAAGTGGAGACAGAATAGAATATCCCTCTCTTATTTGAAATACTGCAGCATTTGATTGCAGTTTGTTCACATATTTTTGTTTTTCTTCTTATGAGAAGTGATCTAAATATTTGTGGCTTAGACAAACCTGTTTTGCAGTTCTATGGATGTTTTCCCCTTAATTTCCTCCAGTAATATTTTCCACATTTACTCATTTTGCTCCTTCCACTTTTGTGTTTACGCACTATTCAAATGATTAGTCATACTATAAAAAGTCCCCCTGTGGTGTAAATCCAGCTTTTAATGTTGTTTATGTGTCTATGTGGTGTTTTTAATACGCTTAAACCGTGTGTAAATTCATAAGTCGACAGCATTGCTGAGTATTTTCTCTTTAAAACTGCAGTGAACCAAAGACAGTCTCAAAAACACGGTTTGAAATCGCTGGTGTTTCTGACGTCACAAACGACCTTGTAACCAATCAGATCAACGTGTGATCGTCAACCAGTGGATCTCTGAGCTGCGTGAGTGAGTGGAGGCGGGGCTCATTTGCATATTCATAGAACCGTGCATACTAAATGAGGCAAGGGTGTCGAGTTACATTCAATATATTTTTTTCCAAGCAAAAATATTATAAATATGTAATTTTGGTGATCAAAGATGAGTTTTAAGGGATAAAATGATTGACTACATACTTTAACATTTTGGATGATTTTCTAATTGAGTTCTAATTCTGACCTACATATCAATCGACGTTTTCTTGTAATTATATGTTTGTAATGAATCAATTTCCATCAACATCAAACACATACCCTTGTCCTTTCTCTTTTCTGGCATCCACAGTGTCTTCACCACTGGGTTTTCCGTCCGACATGGTCACTAAAAGAACACAAAAGAAACAGATCTACTGATTAATAATGCTATACATTTTACAAAAATAATATATAGGTATTATTTATTAAGCATTCTGTATCCTTGTAGTTCCAAGAAATGTAGCACCGGTGAGTTACAGTAAGTGTTTATCTGTAAATGTTGTGTCATTGTATTCACATCCTCCTTTATTTCCTTCCACCATGATTTTGTTGTTAAAACTGCAAGGACATTTTTAGGTTACGCAACAATAGGCTATATATAATTATATATTCTGTTTATGTCAAACTTGGGTTTTTGTTGAGTCAAAAAACTAAAATAACTGGTTTCAAAGGCATTTCCTTAAAAAACCACTACAGGGCAGGCGTGTCAAGTTCTCTTAAAATGCTAAGAGATAATTGTTTGCTTCTTTCTACATTTAGATGATCGTGAAGTCACAATGATCACAAATATCATTATCATAAGATATACAAACATCATTTAACAGCTTGATAATGAATGAAGGCTGGGTGAGTCATTGTCACTTGAAAATTGCTGTAACCCAGAAAGTAGGTCAGGCAGTGTCTATATAATGAATCTCAAAACAATTCTTGTGTCATAAGTATCCTTCTCTTCATTGCCCATAACACGTTATGAAAGCAGTTTAATGTTACTCATCTTCTTCTATAATACGACACGTTTTAGTCTTAGACTGTCTCAGAAATGTCAAAAACAACACACACTCTTCATTGATTCTCTTAAGAGGCGTTTACACACAGTCACGTCTTGTTATCTCAATCCATTCGCCATTAAAAACACTCCAAAACATTCAGAACATTTTTAAAAGATCAGTAAAAAAAAAGCAAAGGTAAAAATGCAATTAATGGGAATAACGTAAAGAACTTACAGGTGTGTTGTCAGATACTTTAATTTCCTTCTGAAATAGAAACTGAAATACAGGTAACGTAGTTTTATTAATGAGGAAGTTGTGGTTTCTTTTGCAGGGAGGGAGCGCGCAGTTTACGTTAAATTAATAGGCTATTAATTCATGTTTTTTTTAAATCGCCCAATAACGACAGCCTACTCATAAAAATTAAATAAATTCCGCATACGTTGCCATTTATGACCATGACCAATATCGTAATCGTAAAGAGTTCCGTGAGACTGTTGCTCCACCCACATGGCATCTACAACAAACGAGATTTTACGCATGCGCAGTAACATCACACATTAGGATCACTAGCGTGAGGCATTACATAAACACACTAAATAATCTTTTAGTGTACGTATTTATACAGTAGTTGTCAGAAGTGATGTCTGGCCATAAATGTGATTGAAGATATATATTCAACAGTACCCTACTTTTGTTTTTTAAAAATATAATTTTTATTCACAGACAACGTTATAAACATTACATTCATTTCTTACCATTGAATTAGCGGGACTCTTTTGGTCAGTAAACAAAAACTTATCGGTTAATTTTATCTTCTCTTCAATTAGGCTATACGTGTCAAATCTCTCTGAAAGCACACTATTTACACTCGTATATATATTAACTATAAGCAATTATTCAATAAAGAGGTCGATAAACTAATGTTTGTCAGTCAGCAAAACGAAACGCGCGCGGCTTTCTGTTGAGGTAAGCGCGTGCTGGAGAAGCGCGTGCAGAATCAGATCAGGGGCGCGCAGAAAAGAAAGTTACAAAATCACGTTTTTATGATTTGTATGCTTTTCATACTATACGCTTAACCTTGGCTTAATATTTTTAGCTGTAAAATTGGATTAATCTGAAAATTATAGTGCATTTTAACGCGATATGATCCAGGTTTTAATAAACTGTATCTGCAAAATATATTTTTTGAAAAATGACACATTTTAGCATAATAACATAGGCCTATTATAAAGATAAAACCTAAAAATTAACCTGTAGGGAATGTCCTGGGAAGGTTCATATATATACACACGTACGCACACACACACACACAGTGTTGGAGAGGGTGTGTATACACACAGTATTATGACTGAATGACTGTGGCCACACAACAAAAGTAAAGTCATAAGTGTCTCTCTGATTTATGGAGATAATTTTTCAACATTATGAATAATCACAACTGTAGGAAACCTGGAGGAACCCTCTCACCGAAACATGCAGCGTCATTATTAGAAAGGGAAAAAATAAAAATGTTGGAGAGCTTTATTTCAAACAAATCTAAAATGACATACATTTACAGCATGCTGATCGAGTTCACTGACAAGAAATTATGCATTTAACAAATTAAAAAACAGTGTTGCATTCATTTTGAAAAACAACTTGTATTTGATTGGCTTATACCTTAGCAAACAGCACTAACAAAACAGAGTAAATGTAAGGGATTTCACTACATTACAGTCCTTTATAAAGTTATAATCTTATGGTATTCAGTCCAGCAAGTTCTTGAATTACATGCATTGTAAGTCGTGTGAGATACGGACTGGAGGAAAGGTGAGGAACTGTGCCGTCTGTCCTGAAACACAGTGACTTTGCTTTGATTCTTCAACTTTATTGTGTTGTAAGGGGCCTGAGTAAATGTTGTTCATCACCCGGATGTCATTATATAACACACACACACACACACACACACATTCCAGAATATCAGGCCGTTTAAAACGGGTGTGTGACTCCAGATCTGCAAGTTCATTCAGCTTCAGTGTCTGAGTGACTGCTGCGCTCACGACCTCAAAAATGATCCTCTTTCTGGTTATTCTGACTTTATTAGTTGGATATTTTATTTTTCATAGGATTTTTGTTCATAGGAAGACCTTCACCGGCACTGCCAAACTACATGGGAAGACCGTCATTGTAACTGGTAGGTGAAACAGACTTTGTGCAAACGTTTAGTCTGCATGATTTCTCAGATGTTGTTCAACTTTGTACATGTTTCTCCCTCGGGCGAAAACGACACCAGATGTGGATATTCAGGAAAATACAGAGCTAAAGAGTGAATGTGGAGCAGCTCGGATCATTAGGCATCGGAAGAGTTTGATGAGAAGATCATATTTAGATCTTTTGATTACAGACTTTGCAAATACTGAAATAGGAGATAAGATGGAGTCTATTTTTCTAGGAGAAAATCCTGAGCAATTCTGCAAAAATCTCCATTTGCTCTCCATTTAACTGTGATATTAAAGAGATATCATGATTGTTATTTCCTGTAAAATCACAGAACTGAGAGTCTTTTCTTCTAAACTAAACTATTGTTAACTAAAACTAAATCATTAACAGAATTAAAGCTGTAATAAATCATAAATATTAGATCTTAAACTAAATTACTAAAATGACTAACTGGTAATAAAAAAAAAATAAATAAAACTGAACTAAAAAACTAAAAAATAAACCTAAATAGTAATATATATATATATATATATATACACACACACACAAGCAAAGAAAAATGAAAAAAAGGACATAAAAAATATGTAATAAAGTACTAAAATGAAAATAAAAAAAACTGAAAAGACTAAAAAATGAAAGCTAATTCAAAATATTAATAAAAACTACACTAGTGTTGCATGACTAGATAATACACAATATTTTATATGGAGAAATGGGCCTCAAAATGACTTGAATTAAAAAAAATATGAATTTTGTGGGGGAAAAAGTGATTTATTGAGCTGGTAAAGTTATATTAAACCATAGTTGTGCTTCAAATATTACTGTGGATGATTGAGGTCAAAAGGTTGTGAACCATCTAAATGAGGTCAGCAAGTGCAAATACTTCACATGAAGCTGATTCTGTGGCGGTCTACGCTGAATCACACAGAACACATATTCCATGTGTATTATTATAATCATACCTGTATCTGTTGTGTCCGACAGGTGGGAACACTGGCATTGGGAAAGCGACTGCGTCTGCGATGGCAGCGAGAGGAGGCCGAGTGATTCTGGCCTGTCGAAGCAAACAGAGAGGAGAAGAAGCAGCTCGAGAGATCAGGATGGTGAGTGTGAGGAGGACCGGGGCATGTTGTCACGAGGAAGGTTTATATGTGTTCCATAGACTGATGTGTTCGTATCGGTTCGTATTATTGACCATGGTATTGACCCAGTCGACATGTTTCTACGGTGGCCCTGAACGGACAAACGTGTTTCGTCACTATGTTGTTCTTCGTGTAAAGAAGCTAGCTATAAAGTCAGCGAATAAAACACTGACACAATGATGAACAAGTAACAATAATATTCGCAATAACATCGTTTTACTAAATAATTAAGTCAAGTCAAGTCACCTGGCTATAGCACTTTTAACAATATAGATTGTTTCAGTTTTACAGTGATGATAACAGGAGATTACAGTAACAGAGATTGTTTAGGCTTTACAGCAGCTCTAGAATAAAGTTATTGTCCAGCTAAAGTTAGTTTTGATTGATTCACTTCCGTTGCAAAGATCATTAGTTAATAACTTAGCGGCCGCTAACACGACACCGTAAAAACAGAAACTTTTAATGTGTTCTGGCCGCTCATTCGCACGACAACAGTGTCTGAGGCTCGAGAACACAAACCTTGAAACAGGTTTTAAGACGCAAATTTTGAAAATTTCTGAAGAAAAGGTTATCTTTGCACAAACTTCAAAAACGCAAACCTGTGAAAACGCTGACGGCGTGCGCATGCGTATTACGTGTTTAGGTATGTGTGTTTGAATATGTGCGCAGGCATGTCTTTCTGTACAAATTGACCTCAACTAATTACTTGTCTGGCCTTAAAAATGTATAATACATAATTATTTATCGCCTCTGCGTAGCCATGTAAACTGGAAATATTTTGACAATGTTTTATCTGTGGGCCATATAGTGGCAATAGTGGGGCATCTTGTCACACAGCCTCTTCAGCAAACCTTGAACAGTAAAACAAGTATAATGAATCTCAAAACAATTCATAAATATCCTTAAATTGTGTTCTGGTCATTTTGGCCCGGAGAGGATTTTCCTGTCCCCAAAAATGCTAATGTTACTGCATGGACTAAAATTTACTGACTTTACTGACGCAGAGCCCAATTTTTAAAATACTTTTTGTGTGTTTTTCCCCCACATTGTAACACTTGTGCAATATGTGAATACTATTTGTCAACACTTTTGAATAACTCTCATTCATTTACTAATAAAAAACATCATACTATGGCAAGACACTACAGACAAAAACAATGTTTTTCCGTGCACAGGTTAATTTTAAGATATTTGGCTTTTCATAATGTGTTGTTTCAGACTAGTGGAAACATTTTCTTTTCTCTATTTGCATTTAAATTATAATCCATATAGTCTGCAAGTTATTCATGTAATCAAATAACTATGTTGATATCTATTATAATCATTTTTATGAATGATTTACACTGCTTTACTTACTATCCATTGCACAAACATCGTAAATGATAGAATATTATAATACTTTCCTTATAGGAAACTGGAAATGAGAATGTGATCTTCATGCAACTGGATCTTGCAAGTCAGAAATCAATCTGCTTTTTTGCTGAAAACTTCCTGAAGGCCGAGCGCAGACTGGACCTGCTTATTAATAACGCAGGTAAATCTATCTGGACACAAAGTGTACAGAAAAACAAACATAATTAAGTCTTAAACCCAAGTATTAGACTTTGACAAGTCTTCACTCTCACATAACCCTGTCAAATAATTCTAATATGCTGCTCAATTTTAATAAAAGTTTACTTTCAATGTGATTGATTTAATACCTTTTTATTAATTGTCTTTTCAGCACTGATAATAATCATAACTGTGTCTTGAGCATCAGATCATCATATTAGAGTGATTTCTGAAGGATCATGTGACACTGAAGACTGGAGTAATGATGCTGAAAATTCAGCTTTGATCACAGGAATAAATTACACTTTATTATATATTCACATAGAAAACAGCTGATTTAAAATTTTAATAATATTGCATTTTTGATCACATAAATGCAGCCTTGGTGAGCAGAAGAAAGTTTTTTGTTACGAACTGTTGACCACCAACATCATGAATGATACCTGTTGTGTGTGTGTGTGTGTTGTCCAGCACTGGCGGCTCCAGGACGCACTGAAGATGGCCTTGGGATGATCCTGGGTGTCAATCATATCGGCCCGTTCCTGCTGACCAATCTCCTGCTGGACCGTCTCAAGGAGTGTGCGCCGAGCAGGGTGGTCAACGTGTCGTCCTGCGGTCACGATCTGGGCACTATTGACTTCGACTGCATCAACACACACAAGTCGCTCGCTCTGGGATCATCCGACGCTGATCTGTTCAGGGCCTACACTCACAGCAAGCTCTGTAATGTGCTCTTCACCCATCAACTGGCCAAGAGACTGGAGGGAACCAACGTCACATGCTACAGCCTTCATCCAGGTCAGAGATCAATAATTCAATGCAATTCACGTTTATTTGTATAACGCTATTCAAAGCAGCTTTACAGAAAATCTCCATATTACAATTTACAGTGATCTGTTATCAGAGGTGACTGTCTAAGTTATGTATTTCAGAAATGTACATATACAAAATCACAGTTAGCGTGATTAATTTAAACAATGAAGTAATTTAATGCAGATACAATGAGCTCTTTGAAGTAATGAATACTTGTTTGTTAACAAATGCTTATGACATTTAGAAAATAAGAATGTGCAATATGCCAGTACTATTTGTCAACACTTTTAAATAACTCATTAATTTACTAATAAACATTATAAAAAGGCAAGACACTACAGGCATAAACATTGTATTTCCGTGCACTTCAGATATTTGTCTTTTCATAATGTGTTGTTTTTCAGACTAGTGGAAAGAAATCTATTTTTCTCTATTTGCGTTTAGATTTAAATTATAATACATATAGTCTGTGAGTTTTTCCTCCACTTCAGCAGCACTTACATGCACCAAATTTTACAGTTTTATTCCTATCTATATTCTGAAGGTTTTTATAGAAGGGTTTGTTAATATATCATTTGTCTGATTTTCTATAGCAGTTCAATCCTAAAAAAACATGATAAAATGTATTTTTTTCCTGCCTGTTGACAGTATTTTCTGATTTATGAATAGATAAAAAGAAAAATACAAAATTCCTTCAGTAAAAACCTTTAACTCTAATATGTCAACAAAATCAAACTGTTCAGTTGTTATCAATTATTCAGATTTCTGCTGTGTAAATGTTTAAAATCATGCCTATTTAATTTCATATTTAAATATTTCAGAAAACTCGTAACACAAAAACTTTTTAGCAGTTATTAATGTAATCAAATAACTATGGTGATATCTATTAGTTACCATTTTTTTCTTGCACTCTTAAAAATAAAGTTCCAAAAGTTTTTTTTTTTAGCAAATGTCATAAAATTTTGGTTCCCCAAAGAACCTTTCAGTTAACAGTTATTAAAATATATATTTTTTCAGTTCTAAAAGAACCATATTATAAGATTTTTAAAAAATAAACATTTTAATAAACTAAATATATACTTAATAAACCTTTTTACACTTTTTGTGTAATTTTGTGCAATGGAAAGATTCCATGGATGTTAAAGATTCTTTATGGAACCATCAATGCCAATAAAGAACCTTTATTTTTTAGTGTATTCACTGGTGTGTCTTGCCTTAACAGATCAGTCCCAGTTTCCCTCCTTCTAACAGTGTGTTTTCCATGTTTGATCTGGTTCAGGGTCGGTAAATTCAGAGCTCGGCCGTGACATCAATGAATGGAAAACGCGTATTCTCAAAGCCATTGTAAGAAGGTTTGGTGCGACGGACCCGGTGTCGGGGGCTCAGACGACGCTGTACTGCGCTCTGCAAGAGGACATCGAACACCTGAGCGGACGATACTTCTCCGACTGTCAGCTGGTGCAAGTCAAGCCCGAGGCCAGAGATGATGGCATCGCCAAAAAACTGTGGGACGTCAGCGAGAAGTTTTGTGGCATGATTTGAACACACAGACAACACTGTACACTTTGCTGTGAAATATGTACTGTACTATTTTTTTGTTGTTGCCGTTTCTCTTTTGGTATATAGTCAAGTCTCCTTCATTTATACAGCGCTTTTAACAATATAGATCGTTTCAAAGGAGCTTTACAGTGATAATAGGAGATTACAGTAACAGAGAGTGTTTTGGCTTTACAGCAGCTCTAGAATAAAGTTATTGTCCAGATAAAGTTAGTTTTGATTGATTCACTTCCGTTGCAAAGATCATTAGTTATTAACTTAGCTTATATATATATATGTGCGCAGGCGTGTAGTCTTTCTGTACAAAATGACCTCAACAAATATAACGTAATGACGAGTTCCAAGAACACAAATGTTGGAGCGAAGTCATATTTATGCATGTCGTAATTACAAGATAGCAACCCATGATGTTCAACTCGGAGCAGTTCACGTAAATATGCATATCTATGCCAACAATGTGAATGTCAGAATGAATCTGCAGTGGTACAGCAATCATGTGGAATAAGGAACAGCTCTCAGGAAATTTGGAGTTATTATGAGTTGTACGAGGACATGAACGAAAGGAGGGAAACTCTAGATAATACACCATTTGCAGCGTTGGAGGGGCGTGTTGATTTGAAACATGGTGGAAATTATTATCAATTATATAATAGCATTATATAATGTTAGAAATCACTATTATTGAAATTATAGTAATGATAATGTAATGTATTACATAAAAAATTATGTATTTTTCGGAACTCGAATTGGAATCGGCATGTCGATTTGAAACATGGCAGAAACACTTATCTATAGTATCAATAATATCTTATATCTATAATCTATAAGCAAGTCTGTAGCAAATGGTGTTAATTACACAACTTTCAAGGTTTGTTTCTAATTTAGTTGTGATACCATGCATAAATAAGAAATGTAAATATTGAAAATATTTTTTCACCATTTTGAATTCAGATGTTGTGATTTGGGTTCATTGTTCAGAATCCAATTAGGAAACACTTTAATTAAAGCTGTTATGTGAAATGCATTATAAACGTATTCATAATGTACGTTATAATGTATGGTCTTCTCATAAATAATTGTAACCATTATAATATTGGCAGATTCCTTGTTACATCGGTAGTTGGGTGTTTTCCATGTGTTTTAATGCATTATACTTTCTAAAGGTTTAATGCTGCTTTCAGGTACACCTAGGAAGCTCTGATTATTACCACACCACACATGCAAAGGCTGTTTCAACAATCTGAATGTTTTCGTACTGTATTTGTTTTTGTTTTGTTTTTAAATAAAGAAATGTGTTAATGTATCTATCTTGCAATTTCATTGTGTCATTGCCTTTCAAACAGCAACTCCAGAAGAAGAAGAAAAAACAGCAAAAAAATTACAAATAAAACGCTTTTAAAAAGCACTTTATTGTGGTAATAAATGGTTTAAAATGTTGTTTAGGGAAAAAAAAATCTGCACATAACAAAATGCCATAGCTTCTCCTTTCTATACTGATTACTGGCTGATAAATACAGCTGAATAAATAGTTAGTTCTGGATTTGGTGCCATTTTATGGCATACAAAAAAAAAAAGCACCATTAAACTATCCAAACTAAGACCAAAAACAAGTATGAAGCATTTACACAGCATTTTTCCCTTTAATCTGGACAGGCAAGGTGTAGAGAACAAGATTAGATTAGAGCAGGAAGTGGTTTAGACTAAAAGCCACTCGCAACATTCAGATCGAATGTCGGCCGTGACATGGCAGTTTTACTGCATGTTCAGGGAACTTGAACTACTAGAACTTGTTGAACTACAATCAAGAATGTGCATAATTTTAGCCCAAGAAAAATGTATAATAAGGCAGGGGTCAAAGGTATGAGCGAGAGAAGTTGAGCTCCTTTGATGTTGCCCAATTAATATTCACACATTAATTAATTTAATTAATTTTTAAAATTAATTTAAAATATACCTTGGGTGATCTACATCCTTAAATTAATTTTTATGTTTAGTTTGAATTGTTTTAGTGCGTGTACCTCTTAAAAATAAAGGTTAAGTTCCTTTAATAGTTCCACGAAGAACCTTTAACATCCATGGAAAATTTCCATTCCACAAAAGGTTCTTTAAAATCTTCAACTCCAAGAAAAAAAGTGGTTCTTTTAAAGGGATACTCCACTTTTTTTGGAAATAGGCTCATTTTACAACTCCCCCAGAGTTAAACTGTTGAGTTTTACCGTTTTTGAATCCATTCAGCCGATCTCCGGTTCTGGCGGTACCACTTTTAGCATAGCTTAGCATACATCATTGGAGTGGACAAGACCATTAGCATTTCTAAAAAAAAAAAATGACCAAAGAGTTTCGATATTTTTCCTATTTAAAACTTGACTCTTCTGTAGTTACATCGTGCACTAAGACCGACGGAAAATGTAAAGTTGCGATTTTCTAGGCTGATATGGCTAGGAACTATACTCTCATTCCTGCGTAATAATCAAGAAACGTCACTGCCGTACCATGAGTGCAGCAGGCGTAATGATATGACGCAGCGCCTGAAAATAGGCCACCTTCCGTCAACACAACGGAACTATTTTCAGGCGCTGCGTCATATCATTACGCCTGCTGCACTCATGGTACGGCAGTGACGTTTCTTGATTATTACGCAGGAATGAGAGTATAGTTCCTAGCCATATCAGCCTAGAAAATCGCAACTTTACATTTTCCGTCGGTCTTAGTGCACGATGTAACTACAGAAGAGTCAAGTTTTAAATAGGAAAAATATCGAAACTCTTTGGTCATTTTTTTTTAGAAATGCTAATGGTCTTGTCCACTCCAATGATGTATGCTAAGCTATGCTAAAAGTGGTACTACCGCCAGAACCGGAGATCGGCTGAATGGATTCAAAAACGGTAAAACTCAACAGTTTAACTCTGGGGGAGTTGTAAAATGAGCCTATTTCCAAAAAAAGTGGAGTATCCCTTTAAGAACTGTCGACTAAAAGGATCTTAGGGGAACCAAGACATTGCTAAAAATCTTTAATTTTAAGATCTGGAATCTTATTATTATTATCTTTTTGTTGATCAGGTTACATTCTACTTTTACTAAACATAAATTTGAAATGTTTATTTATTTATTTTTTATAATGCTGAGGTTGTACACTAATCTGTTTTTGTGCTCTGTGCATCAATGTTCAACCCTACTTGTCACATGAACTGAACTGCATTAACAAAAGAACCTTTTGTCTACTTGTTACAAGCATGTTAACATGCATGTTCATCATATCTATCCACATTCATTCACTCAAAGCGTACACTTTATCATTTCTGTGATAACACACGGAGCCCAAAAACAGCCCAGTGTCTATATATGAGCCCTTTATCAGACGAGCTGACGTGGGGCATTCTGGGACAAAAGGGTCAAATGACTAAGCACCATCACACCCTTTACCCTAAATACACATGCATCAAGAATAAAGGCTTGTTCACAGCAAGGATGATATACAGGTGAAACTCGAAAAATTTGAATATGGTGCAAAAGTTCGTTTATTTCAGTAATTCAACTTAAAAGCTGAAACTAATATATTATATAGACTCATTACATGCAAAGTGAGATATTTCAAGCCTTTATTTGTTATAATTGTGATGATTATGGATTACAGCTTATGAAAACCCCAAAGTCAAAATTAGAATATTGTGAAAAGGTTTTCATAAGCTGTAATCCATAATCATCACAATTATAACATATAAAGGCTTGAAATATCTCACTTTGCTCTGAACTTTGAGCGTTGTAACTTTGCAGATGTTGTTTATGCTCAAACAGCGACATTACACACTAACTACAGTTAGAAAAGTGAAATCATAATCAACCATTTTTCCAAATCCGTCTCCCATTAATTTTCAATGCGCTCATATCTGACCGCGAGTAATGCAAGTGTGACTATTTTTTTTCACACGAAAATATTCATGATTCTCATTTGTGATTTTTTTTTTTTTTTAATGGACTAATCTAAGTATACACACAATATTTCAGTTACAATAAATTCCCCAAACTAATAAATAGTCTGACAAACTACCATTCCATTAAATATGTTTATTTGCCGAGTTGATTATTGATTTTCTGTTTCATCTAAAACCTGCTGTAGATTGTCATTGACGGTCTTTAGCTGATGTTCTGTTCCCATGATGCCCCTGGCTTCCATCAACATGGCAGGCATACACGATGGACCATACTGTCAGGCAAAAGAAATGAAATAAGAAGACAGAAGCACAACCAACCATATATGAAATGAAAGATGGTTTGCTTGTACAGTAAGTTCATGCACAGAATAGGAATGAGGGTTCAACACCCAAACTGAACATCTGAAGACCTCCTTACCGTTTCCACTTCATTGGGGTGAGCGGTGCGGTGCGTCAGGTACTTCATGTTGAGCTCCTGAAGGCTGGAGAGCAAAGCGGACCCTTCTCTCAGAGATCTGAGCCTCAGCTGCATCTCATCGTGATCTTTCTGAAGCTCACGCAGCTTCGTCTTTCCCCTGAAACACAGTTAAAGGGATACTTCAGGATTTAGCATTAAGCTTTGTATTAGTAGAAAACCTGTAGTATTTTCAAATTACTGTGCTTTCCAACCTCATATCCCCCTGAGACAAGAGATTTATGTATTTTTTGTCTGGAAAAAATCCTCCGATGACGCAAAAATCGTCATTTTGTGTCACCGGAGGATTTTTTGGCCAGAGGCTAAAGACTACAGTCAGTAGTACGAGCTGTCCCGCATGTTCTCAACCCGCCCATAGAGGCTGGGATCTCACGCACAGAATGTACACATAGGCCCTGTCCCAAATGGCACACTCCAGACTTGTGGACTTCCTCAGAGTCCACACTTCGGTGACGTCATGTAATGCAGACCTATAGGGCCCTCAGCGCGAGTCCGCGAGGGCGCATTGAGAGGTATTTTTGGGACAGACTCGATCGTCACGCCGGAAACAGGAAGACGGTATGATTGTGGTTTGTTGAAATATGCTGCCTATTGTTGTTGTGTTTACATATGACTCAGTAAAGCCCTGACATTCGGTTCTATTTATTTAATGAATCATAATGCGATCGTATTATTCAGCTCGCTATTATCAGCCTATGTTTGAGACATCAACCACTGGCCGATGATCATAATGTTTGTATAAACTTGTCATAAAAACCGTAATGATAATTACACTTCAATAATTTCTTCTCAGCCATGTGAACAATTGTCCGTGAGCGAAATCTCCTCCCATCCGTTGTCTGATTGGCCTTTCGCAAGGGTTCCTGGGTAGTTAAAGTGCGTGGAGCCTGCATCTATGCGGGCTTCGCGGAAGACCGCTTCAAGGGTACACAGGGGGCGCTGCTGAGCACACTTCAGAGCGTTAACATGCTGAATGGGACGGCCTACGGACTCGTAGACTCGGCGAGCACGCGCAATTTAAGTCCACGAGACCGAAAGTCCGCATGAAGTGCGCCATTTGGGACAGGGCCCAAAGAGTGTCAGACATCTTTTTTTGGAAGCTAAGCTAGCAGGCTCTTGTTCTGTGGAGAAAGCTGAGTAGTAGGGGTTACCATCCTCTTTTTCCCGGATAATGTCCGGCATTCAGTTTTTGCTTTCTGCAGTCGCCATTCATTGTTTACATGCACACCTTTTGTTTCAATCTAACTGAAGTTATTCCGATCGGTGAATCTGAATGTAGTGTTTACATGAACGCTAAACAAGTGATCGGTTGATGTGCGTTTTAACATTGCTAAGAATATTCCCGCTCCTCCGTGAGAGTTACGAGACCGGTGCGTCTCACAGGTGACGCTCATCAGTAATCACGCCGCCGGCCTCGTGCCGTTCTCCCTAATATATTATATAGCTTATGAAAACCTTTTCACAATATTCTAATTTTCAATTTGGGGTTTTCATAAGCTATATAATATATTAGTTTCACCTGGGGTTCTTCGGGTCAAAAATGACCCGAAGCGTTTAAATAAAAAAATGTTAAAAATCGTAGCTTCATCGGAATGGTCCAAAACTTGGTGACTTTTTTGGTACTTGGTATATGAACACCCAAACAAATTGGGGAAAGGATTTTAAAAGTCTAAGTGGTCGTAAGAAAAATAGTCACACTCAGGGTCTTCGGGTCAAAAATGACCCCCATAGGAAATGAATGGGAAATTGGCAAAAATGTGAAAATACAGAGTTTTTTTGTGCATACAATCTACAAAACAGCCAGGATGCAGAAAAAAAGCACACAACAGTGAAGGGGTGAATCTCTTAAAACAATGGGTGACAAAAAATTTTCCATTTGTTCTCCTTATAATCCAATGTTCAGGTTTGACTGTATTATAAAGTAAAACTGGCACTTAAAATTACCATTTAAACCAAGCAAAATTTTTTTTTTTTTTTTTATAAAAAAAAAGGACAAATATAGTCTTTGAGAATCTGTTATTATATATTCAAATCAAAAACCTGAAAAAATTAAACAATATGTGAAAAAATCACTAGAGTGTTTCTACCATAGGTTTCTACAGAGAGCTGTAAATCCACTAGTGGTAAAAATGTGCTATTGCGTGATAAAAATGCTCATTGTGTCCACCAGATGGCTCCGATCTCATTTCAAAAATTGCTTTCATGAGGCCTAGACTTGACTCTAAAATGAAATACAGCTTTAATAAAAAAATTTTTTTAATTATATATATATATAAATTTTCTATTATATTCAATGGGAAAAAATGGGTCTTAATTATTGCATAAATATTAATTATAAATTATAAAATTATCTCAAAACACCAAAAAAGAAAAGAAAAAATATTATTGAACAAAAATATATTTCATTGATTTTACTCAAATAAAATGTATCTTAATGCCGCCCTCCGGGTCATTTTTGACCCGAAGGTCCTGAGTGTGAGTCTAAAATGAGGAATCCCAGAGGGTTAAGTTGAATTACTGAAATAAATTAACTTTTGCACGATATTCTAATTTTTCGAGTTTCACCTGTATTTAATTCATACAATGAAAACTAAGCAGTGTTTTATTTTTATATTTGATTATTCAGTTTCTGTTGTTTAATAAACCTGATGTAGGATGAACCCAACTGATGTTAATAACACTTCTTACGCGACAGTAAAACACTGATGTTCACTTTATGAAGCTGTTTTCTAGTCACAAAAATTATGTGAAAAACGTATGTAGGTTTTATAATTTCAAATATATTTTAAATATAATTTAAGTTTATTTTACACACTTTAAGCATTATCGTATCGCATATTGAATATTGCATTATTTAATGAGTTATCGCATTTTTCTTTAATATTGTGCAGCCCTACTTCCACTGATTGTGAAAACAACATAATCTTTCATTCCTTCCAAAAAGCCTAAACTTAACGTAAAAAAAAAAAAAAAAAAACGTACAAAATACCTGTCTTGCATTCACATAAACACAGTTGGTTTTCTCTTAAGTGAACAAAAAGTGAACAAACAGTTGGGAGAAAACCAGATGCGTGTCAGTATATTAGACCTGTGCATTCACTCTTAAAGTGACAGCGGCCTAATAAACCTGATGTCGTCAGTGTCATTATAACATGTCGTGTCATATTATAACTTTAATAGCTTTAATAAGAATCAAAGCAAGTTTCATTAATGCAGTGAAGACTTTTTATTTTACATTAAATTGCTTTATTTAATTTCTGTTGCAGACCCTCCTAAAAAAAGCACAATATTTTGTTCTATTGTATTTATTGGTCCTTTGGTTATTTATAACTAGTTTATTTGTTCTTATTGTATTACTGACTCTTGTCTTTAATAATTGTTTTAGGACTTCTTATAGTTAGCCTATCAGTTTGGTATTAAAACTGGTTTTGATAAGTGTGAAATTTCAAATCATATTAAATATTCATGATTTCAATATTGACCAAAATAATTGTGATTATGATTTTGTGCCATAAATGAGAATTTGATCGTTTTTAATAATATTTTGAATTAGTTTGCCATTTTTACTTTTTATGCAATCATTTTAATTTATTAAAGTTTTAGTAATTTGTTGTGTGTTTTTGTCCTTTTCTATTAGTTAGTCCATACTGTATATATATATTTTATTTTTTTAATTAAAGTTTTAGTTATTTTAGTGCATCAAGTTACACTATATGAAAATGAGAAACTAGCTGAAATAAAATAAGTTTATTTTTTATATACATTTTATTTTACTTAAAAGTTAATAATATTTCATGTAAAAAAAAAAAGCTTTTTTAAAATTTTATTATAAACGTTTTTAGTTTTAGCTAAATATAATAACCCGGGCGGTCACAGTTTAGGTTAGGGTCCAATTATCACTATTAACTAACTATAAACTACAACTTTTGCCTCAATAAACTCCTAATTACTGCTTATTAATAGTTAGTAAGTTTGTTAAGCTTAGGTATTGTAGGATTAAAGGATGTAGAATATGGTCATGCAGAATAAGGCATTAATATTTGCAATAAACAGCTAATATCCTAGTAATATACATGCTAATAAGCAACTAGCTAATAGAGAGAATTAAACCCCAAACTAAAGTGTTACCAGTGTAACCCTGCTTACTACATATAACTGTTATGATTGCATTGTTATGATAGTTTTTGCAGAACAGTTGTGACATCACAGTATAAACGAGCAAATTAAATCTAGTTTTTGATCTGGTCAGTGCTTACTTAATGAGTTCATAACTGGCTTCCACAAGCCTGGTCCTCTTCTGGTTAACATCTCTATTGATCTGAAAGACAGAACAACACAGTTAACGCCTTCAAAACAAATGATTAAAATATTTATTAAAATTAAAATACAGGTGGAAACTCGAGAAATTAGAATATCGTGCAAAAGTTCATTTATTTCAGTAATTCAACTTAAAAGGTGAAACTAATATATTATATAGACTCATTACATGCAAAGTGAGATATTTCAAGCCTTTATTTGTTATAATTGTGATGATTATGGATGACAGCTTATGAAAACCCCAAAGTCAAAATAAGAATATTGTGAAAAGGACAAATAATATAACAAAGAATATAACAAATAAAGGCTTGAAATATCTCACTTTGCATGTAATGAGTCTATATAATATATTAGTTTCACCTTTTAAGTAATTTTTACTGAACTTTTGCACCATATTCTAATTTCTCGAGTTTCACCTGTAGATTTTCCAGATGAGAATCACCTTGTTATTGTATCTTTTCACACTCTTGAGTTCCTTTGTGGCTGTGATCTATGAACGAATGGCACATTTTTAATCATTATTATGACAGAAGCAACACTTCATGTATTTCTATGACAGACGCAGTCTCACGATCTCCGAGATCTGCTCCTCGAACGAGCGGCTGACGGCGTCGACGGAGCGCTTCACGGCGTCAGAGCTTATGGTCTCCCTGCAGAGAACCACAAACAAGAGTTTCAGAGTTTAGTGATTTGATTTGTTGAGTTGATTTGCTGAATTGACATCATCACGTACGTACTTATACTGAGTGACAAACTCCTGGAAAGCGTCGAGCACCACGTCGAGATCAGTGGCACTTCTCAGATCTCTGGGTTTTTTAGCGGGACCGGCTGACTCTGGAGAAGGACGGCTTACATTTATGCATTTGGCAGATGATTTAATCTAAAACGATTTGCATTGCATTCAAGGAACACATTTTGTTAGATAATGCATTACAAAGTTTGGTATTGTTGTGATTCATCACTGTGCCGTTTAAGTTTGTTCATGGCAAACTATATTTTAAACGATTTTTTTGAAGTGCATATACAGAAAACGATTGTGAAAAATACTTCCAGAACCAAGACACGCACACTGTTGAAGCATCTGATGCATGCATATTAAAAACACCTCACATTTAAAATAAATGTAATTAATAAACAATGTGCATGTTATTGCACACTTGCACATACAATATAATACATACACACACACACACACACACACACACATATATTTATATGTACAGGTGAAACTCTAAAAATTTGAATATCGTGCAAAAGTTCATTTATTTCAGTAATTCAACTTAAAAGGTGTAACTAATATATTATATAGACTCATTACATGCAAAGTGAGATATTTCAAGCCTTTATTTGTTATATTCTTTGTTATATTATTTGTCCTTTTCACAATAATATAATTTTGACTATGGGGTTTTCATAAGCTGTAATCCATAATCATCAAAATTATAACAAATAAAGGCTTGAAATATCTCACTTTGCATGTAATGAGTCTATATAATATATTAGTTTCACCTTTTAAGTTGAATTACTGAAATAAATGAACTTTTGCACTATATCCTAATTTTTCGAGTTTCACCTGTATATATAAAATGAATGTTACTTCGATCAATATGTAAATTACTACAAGAATATGATGTAATATTTACTATTACTAATATTAATATTATAAAGAATAATATTGGTGATATTAATATTATGCTTCACAATACAATATTATACAATCTAAAATATTACACGTGACGCCATATTAATATTAGTAATATTAACCGTCTAGTTCTCTTCAGTCACTTTTGACCGGAAAATAATTTGTAAAAAAAAAAATGTTTTTATTGTAATTTCACCAGAATGGAATGAAACTGTGTGACTTTTGTGGCACTGGCTATGAGAACACACCATGTGACCGCCAAAGGACATTAGAATTAATAATATAATGCAAATACTAATATAATAATGCATGAAAATACTACGGTAATAATAATAAATTTGGACATATTTAAATACCTAATAAAAACCCTAATAAAGTAAGTAATTATGTCTGAAAATATTGTTCTCAGCAGCTAAAAAAAAAACATTTTACAACTGACTCGTTCAGTACCTGACGAAGATAAAGACTTCCTCTTGTGTCTGTGGCCGCTCTGCCGGCGACTGGAAGATCTCCTCTTCGCCGCTTTAGGTTTCTCCATGCTCGGGTGCTGGAAAGGAGAACACATTTTTAATTTAAGACCCATATTTCACATATCCAGGGTTTAAAAGATCATCTGTGGCGGGTGACGCTGTCAAATCACGAGCCAGTTTGAAGAGTTACTTATGTTCACTCACTTTGCTGGGAAGTTCGTGTGTAAATCAAATCTGCGCAGATTTATCACAAAGAGTCCTCATGATATATTAAAGGTACAATATGCAGGATTTTTCACCACCAGGGGTCGCTAACCTCTTACAATAACAAAGGCGTATATTAATGACGTACATTCCGCATTAAAGGGATACTCCACTTTTTTTGGAAATAGGCTCATTTTACAACTCCCTCAGAGTTAAACTGTTGAGTTTTACCGTTTTTGAATCCATTCAGCCGATCTCCGGTTCTGGCGGTACCACTTTTAGCATAGCTTAGCATACATCATTGAAGTGAACAAGACCATTAGCAGTTCTAAAAAAAAAATGACCAAAGTGTTGCGATATTTTTCCTATTTAAAACTTGACTCTTCTGTAGTTACAGGCAAGTGCTGAATTAATACTCACACAGGTCAGTTTATTAAACGAATGAAACTTGAGGTAACGCAGCGCTGCTTCACTCGCTCTAACAGTTACTCTTTCACACTAAACGACATTAGAGTGTGTTGAATGTTGTTAGTTAGGTTGTGTGTTGGCTGTATGAGACTAAGCTAGATCAACATTAGAATAACATACAGATCATATTCAAACATTTCATCATGTTGAACTACATAACATTGATTAGTTTTATGTACATTTGCTCACCTGTCTAATAAAGTACACACAACACTCGCGTGCGTCTCTGTCGAGTCAAAGTTAGTCGCGGACGCTAGCTCTCGGCATCTCGAAAGATGTTGATCTTTGTTCTAGTCCTCTTTTTGTCTCAAAGTCTGCTTGCCATGGTCCATAATGTTTGAACAAAACAACAACAGCGTGAGCGTCCTTCTAGGCATAACGGCAATAACCCGGTTATCCACGTCTGTCGCCATGGTTACGAGCGCAAACCTGGCGGAAACCGAGGGTAACGCGGATATGACGTCATTGACTGGCGACTCCTCACCCCTGCTCACACACCCCGCTTCCTTGGTTAAAATCGCAATTTTCTCACCATTTACAAATAGTTTGAAACATTTGGGATATTGTAAGTAATCAACTTAACATAATATATAACATTGGCCTAGTGATTTTTGGACATTTTACTGCAAAAATCCTACATATTGTACCTTTAAATACGGCGTATTGCACAGAATCTGCTCACTTGAACACACACGTCACTACACAACTAATAACGGCACGCTTGTTCACTTACATTGAAGCATAAGCGAATATTAAAAAGCATTTGGATAACAGAAAATATTATTTTACAACATCCTACATTTATTTTATGTTCTTTGTACTAAAACACATTTTTTGGTGAAAAGGATGAAAGAGGAAGGAGGAGATGACAGACTTTTTTTGAATAAGAAATGAAAGTATGAAAATCAAATTTTATAATATATATATATATATATATATATATATATATATATATATATATATATATTTATATATATGGTTTATTTGTTTTTTCTTCTTTTTTTTGGCTAGTAGAAGTTTTTAATGCCAGATAACTTAAAAATTTAGTAGCCAAATTGGCCGGTGAGTGAAAAAGTTAATTTCAAACCCCGCACAAATCATATATGTAGATACTGATAGCTAAACGTACAAAACTTTCATCCTCATCCGTGAGCTCCTCTGAGGACGCCGGTGACCTCTGTCTCCGAGACACTCCTGGGGTCGGAGAGGTTTCCTTTGATGACCTCTGACCTTTTCCTGCTTTCTGAAAAAAAAAAAAAATGCATTCCAATTAAACTCCATATCTGGCATACATTAAAGTCAGCATGAAACGTCGTTTCTTCAGTATTGTGCCGTATATCCGAGTGAAACGCTTCTGGAACAAGAACAAATGTGGGCGGGGCTTGATTGTGTCTGTGGGGATTTGATTGGATGGTTGTGGTTTGCTATTGGCTGATCTCATGTGAGTGACAGGTTGCCCCGCCCACATCATCAGAGAAGAGAAGCAGTTTAAAATCATTGCTAATAAACACTGTAATATTCCATAAAAACAAGAATTGGCCATTTTGATTTCATGGTGACTTTAACAACAGCTAGACAAAGAAAAAATTAACATACATTTCTTCTTGTTCAAGAAGATTTGGATAAAAGCGTCTGCTAAATGATTAAAGTCCCCCTGTGGTGTAAATCCAGCTTTTAATGTTGTTTATGTGTCTATGTGGTGTTTTTAATACGCTTAAACCGTGTGTAAGTTCATAAGTCGACAGCATTGCTGAGTATTTTCTGCTTAAAACTGCAGTGAACCAAAGACAGTCTCAAAAACACGGTTTGAAATCGCTGGTGTTTCTGACGTCACAAACGACCTTGTAACCAATCAGATCAACGTGTGATCGCCAACCAGTGGATCTCTGAGCTGAGGGAGTGAGTGGAGGCGGGGCTCATTTGCATATTCATAGAACCACGCATACTAAATGAGGCAAGGGTGTCGAGTTACATTCAAGCTATTTTGAAGCACATTTTAAATATGCTGATCAAAGATGAGTTTTAAGGGATAAAATGATTGACTACAGAGGGACTTTTTAATGTAAATGTAGAAGCTGTTTAAGGCGAGACACGGCAGGCAAAAACTTTTTTTTTTTCACTAGTCAATTTTGAGATTTTAGGATATTTGTCTTCACTAACATGTCTTCTTTCAGGCTTGTGGTGAAAAAAGTCCAAAATACACATTTAGGTCTTTATTTTTTTTTACGACACTTTGTTTGCGTCTGTAGATTTCTAATAAATTCATCAAAAGTTGGCGATCTAAATCATCCGCTGCTCCGCGATCGCTGTCTGCACCCTGCCATCACACACACCGCTAGAAAGCTCTCTCTCTCCTGTACAATGCTGTCGGATCCAAATATGGTCATTTCCTTTTTATCAGCAACCAATCGTTAAAGTAAAAGGACGCAAATGCGCAATCTCATTGGCTGATGCTAAATCTTTAACGCCCGTTTTCTCAAAATGACTTTTCTCTCACACTCCAAGACCGAAAATCTCCACTTTAGTAGCACTTATATACACCAAACCTTCCCGTCTTGTACCTAGTTATATTATAAAGACATTTACAGAGGGATTTATGAATATATTATTCCTAGCCTTATTTATATAACATTTTATTCCAAAAAAAAACCATGGCAAAAATAATTTTTTTTAAGGCTATTGACAGTATATTCTGATTTACAGGATAACAAAAGTAGATATCCATAAATCCCTCTGTAATTTTTTCCCCATCTAATATGTGAACACAATGAAAAACCTGGCTTTATCCAAAACTCAGATTTCATTTTTTTAAATATATGCAAATGAGCGCATATTTAATTAGATAATGCCTAATTTGCATATTTAAACATTAAATTACAGAAAACTTGTAATACATTTTTTCCCATCTTAATGTAGGTAATCAACTGGGAAAGTTTCATGGTGATATCTGCTCGTTAAAAAAATTACCCTATTCACCTGTAGTGTCTCGCCTTAACTTGAAAAGACAAGCACAACTTTAGTGTCATGCTAAACGCTCACCTCGGACCCTGCCGTTCTTTTCTTGTCTGTATTCTCTCCGCCTTCTGATATAGTCGGTAAAGATGTTCCTTTAGATTTTCTACGACACAGAAAGCCTTTACGTTATTATGATTACGGTGATGCAGAGACCCGTTGATCGGGCCGGACCACACTCTACCTGACGACGGACTTTCCTCCTGGATCTGGGGTCCGAGGCGGTTCCTGGTTCTCCTTGGATGAGGCGCTCTTAGAAACGACTCGGGTCTTTTCGTTAGCCTTAGCTTTATGAGTTTCCACAGCAGATCTCCGGTTCTGTTCTGGTCCAGGACTCGGGTCTTCCTCTAAAGCTGTGCTGTGAAGCGGGTTCCCTGCCGAAGACAACAACAAACACACACTAAAGTCACTTCTGGGATTTATACAGTAGAGTTACTTTTTAGGGGTGTAACGATGCCCTCATGTCACGATTCGATATGATATTATATTATTGCGATACTCCAAGATATATGATAAAAGATTAACAAAAAATTACTGTTGTTGATTAAAATGCTGAATTTGATATTACATTGTGTGTGTGAATGAATAGGCTTGTGCTGGAAACCCAAAGCACGGGACAATAGAGACACCAGAAAAACAATATTCATGATTCTGAAGCTGAAAACACAGAATTATTTGTGTCGAATATGCTTTCAATCCGTCACTGATTAGATATATTTAAAATAATGTCGGCCACTTTTTACTGGTAACATCAGACATTATCAGGAGCCATAAATATCCCCCCATTGCATTATTATACATTATATTCAACATTGTACACTCACCTAAAGGATTATTAGGAACACCATACTAATACTGTGTTTGACCCCCTTTCGCCTTCAGAACTGCCTTAATTCTACGTGGCATTGATTCAACAAGTTGCTGAAAGCATTCTTTAGAAATGTTGGCCCATATTGATAGGATAGCATCTTGCAGTTGATGGAGATTTGTGGGATGCACATCCAGGGGACGAAGCTCCCGTTCCACCACATCCCAAAGATGCTCTATTGGGTTGAGATCTGGTGACTGTGGGGGCCATTTTCCATGTAGGCGTGGCTTTCTAGGGCAGCGAAGCAAGTGCATTCTGGGAGTTGCACTTGCTTCGGCACCTGAGACCAACTAAACAATTAAAGGGGTCATATAATGGTACATGCACTTTTACAAGTTGATTGTACTGAAATGTGTGTTGGCAGTGCCTGTACACAACCATCATATAATGATAAAAATCCATCCAGTGTTTTTGTTTTAATCTCCTTATATGTTTTCCCCTGCCTCAAATCAAGCCGTTCGAGCGTGACGTCACACGCTCGGAAGCCCCTCCCACGATTGTTGATTGACAGCAGCGTTTCAACACAGACCCGCCCTCGCTCGTGAGAGCTGTCAATCATAGTCTGCGCGGACCGGCGCGCTCATTGTTGATATGCTGGAGCACTGTCTATGAGCAGAATGGCGTCTAAGCGATTGTGGTGTTCTGTTCTTGGGTGTAATAACGAACACAGTCATTTTAATGTTCCTGAATCCGAACCGCTGAAGACGCAGTGGCTGAGTTTGTTTTCAAAGGGAATATTCCCCACGAGCAACGTCAATGCTCTCATGTTTGCGCGAATCATTTCTCACCAGACTGCGTATAAACGAGGGTCAGTATAAAGCTGGTTTTGCTAAGAAGCTGCTCATGAAAAAAGGATCGGTACCAGATATTCGTGTTACATTTACATTTATTCATTTAGCAGACGCTTTTATCCAAAGCAACTTACAAATGAGAACAATAGAAGCAGTTAAACTAACAGTAGGACAACAATACGTAAGTGCTATAACCCCTCTCAGTTTAATTTTAGTGCAGTTTTTTTTTTTTTATAGAATAGAAGAGAAGAGAAAGTGTTAATTCTACTGAATCAAGTGCTGCCGAAAAAGATATGTCTTCAGCAGTTTCTTGAAAGTGACTACTGACTCAGAAGCTCTGGTTGAGTTAGGCAGATCATTCCACCAACAGGGAATAGCCATGGTAAAGGTCCGAGAAAGAGATTTTGTGCCTCTTTGAGATGGTACCACAAGACGACATTCGCTAGCAGAGCGCAGGTTTCTGGATGGCACATAAGTCTGAAGTAATGAGTTTAGGTAAGAGGGAGCAGTGCCAGTGTTCCTGCTGAACCTCTAGAATAACTGAAGTGAGTGTAACGTTTTATTAAACTTTATATTAACATTTATATTAATCTTTGCAAATCGCTAGCTGCACGCTTCACAATGAATGTGTCTAAGGTTTACACTCAGGGTACATTACGGCATGTTTTCTATGTATGATGTTCTCAATATAATTCATAATCCCACGTTTATAATGAACAACGCGTTATGGTTATTGTGTTATCGAGTTACAAACGGTGTACGCAGAACAGAGGGGCGGAGTCAGCGAAGCTCATTATCATTTAAAGGCATTCTGTGCTGAAAACAGAGCTGTTTTTGACCAGGTAAAATAAGTGTTTTCTTACAATACTAATGAGAATTTTTAATTAAAGTATATTACAAACTTTTAATTTAGACCCTAAAGAATCATATTAGCTTGTACAAAAATGGCATTATATGACCCTGATCACGCTGATGTAATTTCAAGTGTTTGTTTTTAAAATAAGTTTGTTTTTAGTTAGTTATTTGATGCGGTGGTGTGACGTCATGATTGACAGCTGTGATTGACAGGTTCTCTGAGCGATGTCGTCACTGAAGCACCAACTGACTTTTTGTCGGGATCTTCGGAGGACTGAGGAGATTGGAGCTTTAAATGTAATATCTAAATTTCTATAATTAATTAAATAAAAGTGCCGGAGCGTGTGCTTGCGATTGATTCTGGAGAGTGGGGGCGGGGCCTTGATTTAGTGGCTTTACTTCCGGCTCACGACTGCGCAGGTCTGGTGCCGAGATCGCTTCTGCGCAGACTCAAGGTCAAGATGTCAGCGCCATATCGGGACACTGGCGGCTTCACTTCTGACCAATGGAAGAGAGCGAAGGGGCGGCGGCCATCTTTTTTTACAGTCTATGATCTGACCTCTCGCCTGTTTTCGAATGCGATTGTTGATTATCCTTTCAGTAAAACTGCTTTTGGATCCTCAAACCTCTAGTCTCGGAGAAGCGCGTGACGCATGTAAAGCAAGCGGTGATTCACTGTAGACTTTCTACATACCGTGAGGAGAATACTGATCTCCCTGAAAGAAACTGGCTTTCTCTATGGATGAGATGTCCAGCGCTCGTGGAGACTCAGTGCTCGGTTTCACACTCTGAAAAAGACACAAATAAACAACAAAATTATGTTAATTGTGTGCAAACTTTAAGTGCATATTATTGCACGGACTGTATAATACAATACACATATTACAAACTGTTACTTCAGTCCACAAGGCAATACTATATGTAAATAACATGTATAATATATGTATATAATCACTAATATTAATATTATAAACAACAATAATACAATATTCGTCATTACATAATATAAATATTGGTAATATTATTTATTTCAGGGCAATACATTATATAATATTACATATCCTCTTATTAGTAGTAGTAGTAAATACTAAACTAACATCAATAATAAACATTTTTATTCCATAATATAAATATTGGTGGTATTAAAACAACATCTTTCAGGAATTATAGGTAAATAATCATAATACATATTTAAAATTAGACATGTCATATTTACTTTCTGGCTAATTATACACTGTAAGTAAGTATAAGTAATATGTTTAATATTTATTATATGTGTCATATTAATAATAATAAATACTACATTCTATATCATACACAATAACAATAATATTGCTGGATAAAAAAATAAAAATATTGCTGGTATTAAAACTACATGTTTCAGGAATTACATGTCAAAAATAAAATTAATATTAAACTATTATGATTAGTAATATTAAATGCTATTATATCTCAAACAACAATACAATATTTGTTAATACCTAATATAAATATTGGTTATATTAATATTATATTTCAGGAATTACAAGTCAAAAAATAGGCTAAAACATTCTACAATCCAATATTATACAATTTATGTAATATTACGTGTGTCATATTAATAATATTAGTAATATGAATTACTACATTATATATCATTCATACACAATAACAATAATATTGCTGGATAAAAAAATTCAAATATTGCTGGTTTTAAAACGACATGTTTCGGGAAATACATGTAAAAATATAAAATGAATATTAAAGTATTATAATATTTTTTCTCGAACAACAATAACAAAATTATTTGTTATTACATAATATAAATATTGGTAATATTATGTTTCAGGAATTGTATGTCAAAAATATAATGTAATTAGGATTCAAAACATGTAACGCTTTGTGAGAAAGCAGCTAAGTTAACAAAAAAGCAAAACAAACACTCACCTGTAGCTCCCGCTGAACAGCTTTCAATGTTTTCGTCATCCTACTCATCTTTACATTAATTTAATACCCTTAATAATTATCTATATAAACAACAACAACAATCAGAAAGTAACAACTGCAATGCGCAAAGTCGGTAAGGAAGTATATTTACCGCGAATGTTTGAACGCTTGGACTGAACCATCTCAGTAACGGGGGGCGACTGAACAACGTTAAGGTGTGTATTTCGTTTATATACAAAGTAGGAATGATATTTTACAATTTATTTGAATATAGACTTCATAGAATGGTAATTAATAAAAGTATTCACTTTTCATACATCATTTTCTTTAAAAAGATTCAAATGTTTTTTTTTTCGAATGACCCCTCCAGACTTATTTAGCAGGTTCCTTCTCTGTTTTGTGTAAAGCGCACAAGGCGAGACAACGCGTCATTTCTGTCTCTACTGCCCTCTGCTGTTCTGGCGCAAATTAATAATAAAAAAAAATACATGTTTCATTCATGGTTTCATTCATGGTTTCATTACAACAAATTGGCATTGCAAACAAAGTTGTTATGCAAATTGTATGCATAATTTGATTCAATTATGTATGATGAAAAATTAGGTGTTTATAGTTATACTCGGTCTATTTGCAGTTAGGTTAGGTTTGTGAATCTGAAAACATTTAGATATATATTCTATTTTTAAAAATGTAAATAAAAATGTTATAAATAAATAAATTCATAAATAAATATGAAAATAAATACATGAATGAATTAATAAATACGATTAAAAAAAAAAGTTTTGCAATAGCGCCCTCCAGTGGTTATTTATTTACCTTACGATCTCCACGCAGAGTGGAAACGCTAGAAGCGATTCTTTAGTGGCCACTTCCGGTCTCTCGCTCTGTCCATCCGAAGTGGAAACACTATAAACCAAGGACGCGGGCGGTTCCGCCTAACTGACTGAAACCAGCCCAACAGAACCGCCACGTTCCCCCGGACCACAGCCAGAAGGTACTTAAATAAACAAAATCAGCGCTACGAAATACTCCGATTTAAATACCTACAAATATAAACACTTTTAGTGAGGAAATCGCGGTGGAAACACCTTAGCTTGTGTTGTCACAGAATTAGCATTAGCTTCGAAGTAGGTGTGTTTTTGCAGCTTTAATAAGTGACAGCAAACACATTTAAGCTTTCAAACCTAAATACAGAGTTTAATAATGTGCATTTAAGTGATATCTGAGAGTTATTGACACTGTGAGGACGTGCTGTAGTCAAAAAGAGCAACAAAACGTAACGTTAGTTCACATAGAGGAAAAAATAATCATGTTTTATATATTTCCTTGTTGTATATGGGTGCCACAGGTGTTTCAATTTATATATGTATCTGATATAATGGTGTTTGTTTTTGTCTATCCACTGTTTTGACACTGTACTGTTAGCAGAGTAGCCTGTTAGCTGTGTTTATTAAGCACGTGTATTGATTAATATCATAATGTAATGCTAATGAATCTGTGATCTTTTGTCATCATTTATATGTATTCAGAGAGCTCTGGCTTTCTCATAATTAGGTGATTTTTTTTTTAAGTCAGATCATATCAAGGACATTTGCTGATCACAGCAGTCCATTATAAGTGGTGTGTCATTCTTTAAAGTCACATATGTAGGAGTTAAGTGGGTAAATGAGGAGGCGAACACTGACCTGTCAATCATCACTGTGAGCTCACGATCATACCGTGTTTTGTTCTGATTAATGAGGCTGGAGAGTTTGAGTCTTATGCATCGTGGCAGCAGATAATTGCACGACCCAATCCTCTCCATGACCTTCAAAAGTTCCCATAGGATCTTCCACATGTGTGCTTTTATTTTTGGAGAGGTCTTGCACATGGTTTGGTAGTACATTCACGCTTCTGGATTTCTTTTGAGCAACTTTAAGGAGCGAGTTAATGTCAAAATGAGACAACCTCATGTCATTTCAGACCTGAAACACTGTTGGAGATGTTTAGTGAAGTGACACGGCTCTTTAAAACAAGGAAAAAGCACAATCACAGGGCAATCGTCAAGCGCAATTACAGGTGAAACAGGTGCAAAAGTTCATTTATTTCAGTAATTCAACTTAAAAGCTGAAACTAATATATTATATAGACTCATTACATGCAAAGTGAGATATTTCAAGCTTTATTTGTTATAATTGTGATGATTATGGATTACAGCTTATGAAAACCTTTTCACAATATTCTAATTTTGACTGGGTTTTTCACCTTTTAAGTTGAATTACTGAAATAAATGAACTTTTACACGATACTCAAATTTTTCGAGTTTCACACAATTAACAAAAAACATAAAATAGGGCCTACATGCGATGTATATAAAATTAAAATGTGTTGGTAAGAGGAATAAATAAATAAATTATAGCTATATTCGTTTGTTTTACAAAAAAATAAATAATAATCGTAACATTTCACATTCACAATAATGTTTTGTATTGCTTTAATGCATAATTTAAATCAAATTAGCTTTTTATAATGTTATTTTTTTACCGTATATGTGAGGTTTCACTGTTTTACATTAAAATAACTTTTAAAATTTGTGTTTATTTAATATATGTGTGTGTGTTTGTGGTGTACATACACACACTTAACCTATATTATATAAACACATACTTTATGTTAAATGCGATTAATCTATTTGACAGCGCTTATGAATATTAGTCCACATGACTATATTTCTACTGAAAATCTTCCTCAAGTTTCGTTGTAATTAATACATATTTAAACAATTTAACAATTTCATCATTAAAAATACAGTAAATATCCTCTGCATTTTTAAGACACATTTAAGTTTAACATTATTAACGCTTAATAAACGCTAATAAAATTACAAACGCTTGCCATATCTTGTAAAAGATCAGTGTGAACATTATTCAAAACATCTCCTTTTGTATTACACATAAAGTCACATAGTTTTGGATCGAAATGAGTGTAAATGTTATATATAAACCAGGTGAATGATATACAATAGTGAACATTTGAAGTGGATCAAAACCTTTCATCAAAGTTATACATGAATTTTGAACGATACCCGTTCTTGTCTTAGGACAACTGTGATGAACTTTTTTTTTTATCCACTTCAAATGTTGACTAGTGTATATATGAACAAACCCCTTCAGATTATATATCGGAGTAAAACTGTAAAGTTGCTGAAGTGGAGAAAAAGCTCACTGCCTTTAACTATACATGTTGTGATTGAAAATATACAGATAAAGTGCAATTAAATAAACACTTGAAAATGCAAAATCTCAAAATTGACCAGTGCATGAAAATAACAGGATTTGCCTGTGGTTTCTTGCTTTGAGATGATGATGCACTCGTACACTCGTTTTGATTCATTATATGCCACCTATTTTGCCATATACAATATAAAGGTAATTTGAGGCTGAACGGGTTCAGATAAGCAGATGTCCTCCTGCCCTCGGTCTGTCTGGGACGCCTGAACTTTGGTTAGGTAACATGTCTTATCTCAGCAGTTAGTGACGCAAAATGGTTTCAAAAGTCTGGTTAATAAAACACGTTTGGCTCTGGACCAAGCGTGCCGCACAAGCCCTGAGAAGTGAAGCCAGAGCGTATCGATCGCCCCCCGGTGGCCGGTCCCAGTACAGCTCATAAGCCCCGCCTCCTCATGTTATTCAACGGCACGCGAGACCAACTAAACAATTAAATTACACTTCAAATATCGCTTTTCCAAAGATGGTTTCTGTCATTTACTGTAGTTTTTATCACGCTGATGTAATTTCAAGTGTTTGTTTTTAAAATAAGTTTGTTTTCAGTTAGTTATTTGATGCGGTGGTGTGACGTCATGATTGACAGCTGTGATTGACAGGTTCTCTGAGCGATGTCGTCACTGAAGCACCAACTGACTTTTTTTCGGGATCTTCGGAGGACTGAGGAGATTGGAGCTTTAAATTGAATATCTAAATTTCTATAATTAATTTAAATAAAAGTGCCGGAGCGTGTGCTTGCGATTGATTCTGGAGAGTGGGGGCGGGGCCTTGATTTAGCGGCTTTACTTCCGGCTCACGACTGCGCAGGTCTGGTGCCGAGATCGCTTCTGCGCAGACTCAAGTTCAAGATGTCAGCGCCATATCGGGACACTGGCGGCTTCACTTCTGACCAATGGAAGAGAGCGAAGGGGCGGCGGCCATCTTTTTTTACAGTCTATGCTCTGGACTCGCAAAACTCTCCGAGATGAAGCTTGTAACTGATGAACCTTTTCTTTCCCTCTGCACTGATAAAACATTATCAAAATGATTCCAGTTCGCATGGACACGCGGAAGCGACTAAAAAATATTGTATTATGAATTTTTAAGGCCAGACATTTAGACTAAGCACATGATACGCATGCGCTCGCCGTCAGCGTGTTCACAGATTCACGTTTTTGAAGTTTACACGTTTTTCAACATTTTTCAAAACTTGTGTCTTGGATCCTGTTTGAAGGTTTAGTTCTCGAGCCTCAGACACTGCTGTGTGCGAATGAGCGGCCAGAACACATTAAAGTTTCTGTTTTTACGGTGTCGTGTTAGCGGCCGCTAAGTTAATCACTAATGATCTTTGCAACGGAAGTGAATCAATCAAAACTAACTTTATCTGGACAATAACTTTATTCTAGAGCTGCTGTAACGCCTAAACACTCTCTGTTACTGTAATCTCCTGTTATCACTGTAAAACTGCTGTGAAACAATAGACAGTAGTCAACTTTTGAAGTAGATCAAAACCTTTCATGAATTTTGAACAATACCCGTTCTTGTCTTAGGACAACTTTAATGAACTTTTTTTGATCCACTTCAAATGTTGACTAGTGTATATTGTTAAAAGCGCTGTATAAATGAAGGTGACCTGACTGCTTTATTTCCTCTCTTTCACAGGTTAAAATGGGCATCTCTTCTGCTGACCAATCAGATGCTTAGTTTCCCATGGGGGTCGTCACTACCATGGACCCGGATTCTGCCCGGCAACCGCAGGGCAAGTTAGGTAACGCTAGCCACGCTGTGATCGAAGCTAACGTGGGCCCTCGAGGAAAGCACTATCTGTGCGGCTCGTTCGCCGCGTTCACCAACATCATCGTGACCTTCCCTATCCAGAAGCTCTTGTTCCGGCAACAGCTTCACGGCGTCCGCGTGACCGAAGCCGTCCGCCAGCTACAGCGCGACGGATTGGGTCGTTTGTACCGAGGGCTTCTTCCGCCTCTCCTGCAGAAAACCACGACCGTAGCCATAATGTTCGGCTTGTATGAGGATTTTTCCCGCTTGCTTTTGCGTCACGCCCGGAGTAGCGGAACGCCCGAGATTGTTACGCGTAGCACCGCCGCAGCGCTAGCCGGCACAGCTGAGGCTGCGCTAACGCCGTTCGAGCGTGTGCAAACGCTTCTTCAGGATCACCGGCACAACGGGCGCTTTAACAACACCGCACACACCTTTAGGACCCTCCTGCGGGATTACGGCGTGAGGGAGTGTTACCGTGGCCTAGTCCCGGTGTTACTGCGTAACGGGCCGAGCAACGTGCTGTTTTTCGGGTTGCGTGGGCCGATTAAGCAACGGCTTCCCGACGCCCGCACCCGCGCGGGTCACATGGCTAATGACTTTGTGTGTGGCGGGCTTTTGGGCGCGGCGTTGGGAATCATGTTCTACCCGCTAAACGTGGTGAAATCGCGAGCGCAGGCCCAAGTCGGAGGCGAGTTCGTTCCCTGCCGGCAGGTTCTGATGACGGTGTGGCGGGAACGAGGCGGGAGCGTCGCGATGCTCTTCCGCGGAGCTACGCTCAACTACCATCGCTCTCTTCTGTCCTGGGGGATCATCAACGCCACGTACGAGCTGCTCCTCAAAGTTTTCTGATGGTGCACTTTTCCCCAAAACAAGCCAAAGTTGAGTGTTTTCCCTCTTTAAAAGAGGCCAGCTGCACTTAAATGCACAATCCACTTATAAATGTAAATACTGTCATCATTGTTCCAAACTTAATTTCTTCTGTGGAACGGAAAAGATGATTTTTTGAAAGTTTTGGACCCCATTGACTTCCATTGAATGGACAACTGGTTTGGTTTCCAACATCCTTCAGAATATCTTGTTTTTTTGCTAGAAGAGGGAAATTGATACGGGTTTGGAATGATTAAATGATGGTATTTAGATTTTTTTAGGTGTAAAATCTGCACTTAATGATGTGCCGATGCTGATAAAGTCCGCCCATGTTACCCAAGTGTTGTGAAATGTATCGTATGTTTCTGTATTGGCTCTTTTACTCACTTTATGGGGTCTGAGGGACACGGATGGAGAAAGCACGGTGTTGCACTACTGACAGTACATTTCTAAGTGTTACGCGCAGTTCAACTGAGCGTTCATTCATGTGTGTGATTTGTGGACCCCACACACACACACACACACACACAGCGTGACGTCTGTACAAAGCCCATGATGGTATTGTATATTTTGCCAATCAATCAGAAAACATCCAGATGTATTCAAAGATTTTCATGAAATGCTATTTTTATGTAACAAGTGTTTTTTTGCGACATAAATGAAATGTTCACGTTGTTGTGGGTGGAAAGTAAACAATTACTCTAATTGCATTCTGGGTGTCATTATTGAAGTTTATGAAGGTTTAAAGTCAAAACACACCATATTCATTTCTTTTATCCGTTTCATGTCTTATAGCAAACAATTTGCTGCATGTTATTTAGATTTTTTTTTTGTTTTTCTGCCCGTCATTAATCAGTTCTCAATTGATAAGTTTTTTTTGTTCTTGCGTAATATCTTGTTTCGGCTGAAATTTTTACGTTATGACTTAAAGTTCTGCTTATTTTTTATTTTTACAGTAAAATCAAATGCCATAAATGCAAGATGAATCCTTCACAGTAGTGGCAATCCCATAATGCATTACAAGCACAGTGTAAAACAATCAATACAAGAAGATGGTGTTGAGGAATATATTTAATTTCAGTCTAATAAAATTGACTATTTTGCCTAATATTTGTGTCTTATCAGGTGTGTTATGGGTATAAATGTTATGTATTAAAGCTTGTGGATGCATGTGATTCGAGGAGACGTATTCTTTAGGTCTTTATATAGTGCTTTTCACAATATACACCCATTTCAAAGCAGCTTTACTGACTAGATTACTACAGTAATGATTATATTACATATCTTGTACACAATTTCAGTTTGAATCTCCCTCCTTTCTGCTGGATAGTTATTGCATATTTCTTTACTTGTGTGGTTAAGATTCCTCCGACTCAGTCACTGGGAACATGGTTCGTTCTGAGTTGCTGTATTAAAAGGTAGTTGCCTATGTAGACAGCAATTGTGAAACAACTCCTAAACTCATAGAAGAAAAGGTCCTACAGGTGAAACTCGAAAAATTATGGTGCAAAAGTTCATTTATTTCAGTAATTCAACTTAAAAGGTGAAACTAATATATTATATAGACTCATTACATGCAAAGTGAGATATTTCAAGCCTTTATTTGTTATAATTGTGATGATTATGGATTACAGATATGAAAACCTTTTCACAATATTCTAATTTTGACTTTGGGGTTTTCATAAGCTGTAATCCATAATCATCAAAATTATAACAAATAAAGGCTTGAAATATCTCACTTTGCATGTAATGTAAAGAATTGCATTCTGAATTTTCATCGAGAATGACTAAACCGTACATCTAGTTTATGTCTAATATTTGTGGATGATGTTTTTGAGTGTAAAATTACCTGAAGCACAGTTTCCTATATATGACACATTTACAATAGAAAAGCTACAAAAACATCTTTCAGTGTTCCTACATTTAGTAATTCCCTCTGTCTCACAGCCACGGATCACAGCGAGTGTGTGTGTGTGTGTGTGTGTGTGTGTGTGTGTGTGTGTGTGTGTGTGTGTGCCAGTAAACAGCTCAATCCCATCATTACCTCGGTTTGAACTGTGAAAGTCTTCGACTGAGTTTAATCCAAGGCCTAATCTGTAATCTCCTGCGAACTCAAAAGCAAATACAGTGTGACAATTTACGGTTTCAGAAACTAGACATAAAGACTCATAAAAGACAAAATATTTCAAAATAACAGATGTGACGAGCTTTGGGAATAAAACCAAATAAACATTCAAAATCACGCAGCGATTTATTAACATGCAAACCTCACAAAACGGGTCAATAACGGTAATATTTCACCGCAAAATCAACAGAAATTATGTTGCCTAAAGAAAATTTAAAAAAAAAGCAAAACAAGAAAAAATAATAATGCATTCGTTCCATAGCAATCGTCATTCAAAATCAAACCTTTATTATCGGGAATGCAAAGCATATTCTCGATTGTCCCTTCTCATTTCATCCAGAAGTTTGCTTTCATATTCACACATAGACTCAGAGATTTTAGTTTTGTGCACTTCGAAAGGCAATACAACATGTCTCAAGAATACACACGGTCCTTACAAGCAGTTTTTTTTTTTTTGCTACAAATGCAAAGGCAGTTCATAGGACCTTCATATTACAGGAAGATTTCATACGGAAACATGTTTGCTCTCTGATGTTCGATATGAAAGTAATTTCTGTGAAAAGAATGAATAATAACACATTACATATGTGTCTCTTTCCTTCTCATGACTTTTCTCTCGATGCAAACTAGCTTTGCGTCATCTGACTTGATAACCACAATCTGGCAGTGTGTGTGTGTGTGTGTGTGTGTGTGTGTTTGCTTAATGGGGGGTGGAGTGTCTAATATGGGTGATATTCTTGACATTAGAGAATTGCTTCCAGATGGCAAGTAACTTAGTTAAGCTAAACGAGGATGATGTCATAATTCATCCATTGACCTCAGGTTGGTCATGTGATCTGGGTGATTTAATTATGTGTTCTGGACGGAAGCTGCACTTTTAAACCTGATCTGGAAATTTTAACCCTTGACTGTTATACCACATAATACTGGTCTGAGATCAGATCAGGGCAACTGAATATGCTCAGAGTATAGATCTTTAATGAATTCCCCAATCATATTTTGGTAATGCTTCCTTTTACAGTCCTGTTACCCATGTACTTACTATGTACTTATTATAATTACTGGGTAATAACTAGGTACTAACCCTGAACCTACCCCTAACCCATGTACTTACCTTATATTAGCCAGTAAGAACTGTACTGTAAAAGGAAGCGTTACCCATATTTTTGTGATATACAAATCCTAAATAAGCGTTCTTAGACCTGAAACATACTCTATGCAAGTACCGAAATGCACACATGACTGGTTGAGCAAGTATGCGCTTCCAGCTAACATACTTAACGTGTTCTGTTGCATAAACAAACCCAGGGAGTGATAGAGTTTCCTTCAGATGTCAGATTTGTTGTTATTCTGGTTGCTGGCTGTAATAACTTGCTCAGCAAGATTCTCTTCAAACGGTTGCTCAGCCATGATAGTAGGCCGTTTACGCTAATGTTCGCTAGGGCACCTCCTGCAATGATGCTAAAAGGGCATTTTTTGTTATGCAATGTTATGCATTACGCTATGAAATTGAGCAGGGGTCTGTACCATGACGCCGGTTTAGGTGGATAGCCAGGTGTGTTTCAGTTTAGTTAGCACCAACCCTGGGTTTTAGCACTATGAAAGTGGTTTGGCGTTTAGCGTGTTCATCGCCATAGTAACTCACGCTCCACGGCTAGCTGGCCCGGGTCAGGTGATGCTCCAGGTGAGAGGTCTCAAACCGAACTTGGACCAATCGGCTGTGAGCAAAGTGTCACATGTCTGATGCGATAAAGTCACTCCACCTGTTTCCACTCCACATTAAAGCTCACTACAGCAAATGATTTATAAAGACAAAATCGTCTGGCTGTTAGTAATGCTAAAAAAAAAAAATATTAATTTTGTATGATTTAGATGTATTATGTAATTATTATACCCTTAATCGATCACACGTAGAATTTTAGATCATCAATTATTATTACGCAGAGTTTAAATTAATAAATATATAAAGGTAATATAAATACGCTTTAGAATCGATAGATAAAGCTATAAATTGACTACATGTTCAATTCTCTCTATACTTTTATCAAGTACTTTTACTTGCACTGATATACAGTAGCGAGACCTTTTCTTTTAGTTGTCCTCTTTCACAGTAAACATGTAAATTTGTTTAAATTCTTAATTATTTAAAAAGTGAATTGCGCTGCTTCTCTCGTTTTGAATGAGTTACACTCTTTCTCAGCATGTGATTGGCTGTTCGCTACTGATGATGTCACTCCTAAACTCAGGATCAAAGCCTGAGCTGACAGAGAGAGTTGATGATCAGCATCATGGTACCAACAAAGCCTGGTTGGATTGGTTTGGTTTTGTCAACTCAAAACTAATCCTGCAACCCTGAGTTTGTTGAATTACCATCGTGGTACAGGCCGCTGGTGTCATTAGAAGCACTTGCATTCACATATTTGTGTGGAGTACGTTTCTGGCCTTATGTATGTATAATGTTTACTAAATATGGTGCTGTTCACCACTTACAAAAGTGTAAGGAACAACATTTCCTAAACCTTTTTGTTTAAATTAAACAGAAGGGAAAATAAATATATACGCTGCATTTGCATAATGATGCAATCGAAAAAAAACGTTCACAACGATCCTCCAAGATTAAATATAAGGCCTAGGTTTGCCAGGGAAGTCCTCTAAAGTGAAAACATTAGTGATTTACAACAAATTGAAAATTATTTTGATATGTATAAAATGTAAGAAAGTATAATATGTGGAAAATTTCGGATACAAATCGTGAAGCTTGCATAGTCAAAAATGGGGGAAGAGTGAGAAATTGAGTGGTTTGGCTATCGGTGGGATTGCTTACGGGTGCTACAGTAACATGGTGACAACGTTGTTGTGTAAACACGCCCCAATTGTGCTATTACGTCTTTGGACCACACCAATCTCTGTGGTTAACAGTCAGCTGATAAGCCAATATAAAAACGAACATCAAAAGCCAAACCTGACACGCCGACATAGTTACAAAAATCCCAAACGGCCACACTTCTATTGCCATCAACTCTCATTCTACAGTCAGAAAAACCTATTGTTGACTGAATGAAATGAAAGTCCTTTGGAAAGTCTGGTGAGACGCTACTGC